AGACATGATAAGGATAAACAATATATTCTTTATACATATGTCTATCGTTATACACTAACTGCATGTTTTAAAACCAAATATTAATAATACAACATATTAAAGTTTTAATCGTTTATCATAGTGATTAAAGTAGACAATAGTGATTTATTTATTTACAATAAAAAAACCTGTTATTCACTTAATACTGACTAGTATATAAAAATAATTATATAATACTAGAAAGCTTGAAATTCTGCACTACGTTAATATACTTAAGAGATTTTCTTTTGACCTCATTTGCAGATCGTCCAACATGTCCCTAACACAAGTCCTCACAATAGAACCATTCGATTGTGAAGGTGATCCAACCTCCTTAGGCTCGCTTTGGGAACGATGGAAACGTGCATTAGAAATTTACTTTGTAACTACAAACACAAATGATCAAAATAAAAAACGTGCAATTCTATTACATTCCGGAGGCATGTCATTACAAGATATATATTTTAACATACCTGGAGCCCATGTTACTGACACGACTGACGTTTATGAGTTATACATTGCAGTAAAAAAGTTAGACGACTATTTTTCCCCAAAGCAAAGTTATTTGTTCGAAAAGCATATATTTCGTTTAATGAAACAAGAACCAGACGAAAAATTCGAAAAATTCTTGATTCGTTTAAGACGACAAAGCTCAAAATGCAATTTTGCTAAGGAGGATAAAAATCTTATGGATGAAAAAGTAGCTCCACCAAACTAAGAAAGAATATTTTGATACTTGGTGACACGGCAACAATAGGAAAAACTATTACAGAAGCAAATTCTTTAGAAACTGTAGAAAGACAATTAAATGAGTTCCACGATAGACGAAACACTACTTCCAGTATCAATAAAATAGATACTAAATCAAATAAATGTTACATGAAAAAAGACATTGATCTAAGCTGTAGCTTATGTGGTAGTAATAACCACAAAAGTGATAATAGTTCCTGCCCTGTAATTAATACTAATTGTTTGAAGTGTGGTTTCAAAGGTCACTTTCAGAAACACTGTAGAACAAGGGCCAATAAAAGAAAAAACACTCATCTCCGGTCGAATGACAACAATATAGTTAAAAAGTACAAACTATTAACAACAATATAGCTAAAAAGTACAAAACTGACAACAATATAGCTAAAAAGTACAAAACTATTAAAACGTGCACTTTCGGTTACCGACTGACTTTATTCAAATTTGACACAAGTCTAAACAACAGGTACAATAGATGGCGTTACTAGTTATAATTTGTTACTTAAATACAACACCCTTACATACTTAACAAAATATTACAGTAAACTTAAAACATAAACTCTTAACTTAGGTAAAAAATCATTGAGGAACAAGACCTATCATTTCTAAGAACTTATAATGCTTACTTGACACTAAACCTTTTGTTAACAGATCTGCAGGCATATTCTGAGTTGAGATATACATAACTTTAACTAAATTATTTTTTTACATTATGATAACGTACATCAGATACACCCAAGATACACCCAAAAATAAAGAGCCTACGTCTATAGACTACATATTTCACATCGATGATGATGGAACTGTTGACTGTCAAGTAGGAGGGGTGAATATCAAAATGCTCATAGATTCCGGTAGTAAACATAATATAATATACGATACAACTTGGGAGTACATGAAAAAATCGAATGTTACAGTTTCTAATCCACAAAAATATTCAGACAAAACGTTTCTAGCCTACGGTGCTAAAGAACCACTAAAACTGCTAGGCTTATTTGATGCACAAATAAAAGTGTGTTCTAAAACAATAACTGCTCAATTTCATATTATAGTAAATGGTTCCAAAAATCTTTTGGGTAAAGAAACTGCTGTCTCCTTTAACTTGTTAAAATAAGGTTTTGATGTAAATTCAATTGAACAAAAACAATTTCCCAGGTTCAAAGATGCCCAATTAGAGATTACTATAGACAAAACGGTTCCTCCAGTTTGCCAACCTTATAGACGAGTTCCTATTCCTTTGAAATCTAAGATAAATAAAATTAAAAAAAAATCGATAAACTCTAAGAAATAAATAATTAAATCTGTAAACAAACCATCGAAGAAATCCAAAATTTCCTGGGATTAATTAACTTTGTGGGAAAGTGGATCCCCAATCTGTCAACCTTAACAGAACCTATTCGGCAATTATTACGCGAAAAAGTTCATAAAAACGCCATTATCACGGCATTTTGGCAAAAAGACCAAGAAAAGGCTTTTGAGAAATTAAAATACTGTCTCTCTAAGATTCCTACCCTAGGTTATTATGATCCGAAAGACCCAAGTTATGGCTGATGCAAGTTCTGTAGGTTTAGGGGCTGTACTAATTGAGTATGATAACAAAGAACCTCGTATTTATTGCTTTTGGAAGTAAGAGTCTGACAAATGTCGAAAAACGATATTGTCAGACTGAGAAAGAAGCATTAGTTATAGGTCGGGCGATAGAACATTTTTACATGTACTTATACGGAAAAAAATTTGAACTAGTCACAGACCATAAGCCCTTAGAAGACATATTTGGCACGCGATCAAAACCTTGTGCTAGGATTGAGCGATGGGTCCTTCGGTTACAATCGTATGATTATAAAGTGATTTAAAAGCCGGGAAAATCCAATGTAGCTGATCCACTATCCCGTCTGTGTAAAAGTAGTACTAACGAGACGCAAACAAGTTCTTTTGAAGACGAACATCATGTTAACCAAATTGTTCAACATGCGCGACCCACAGCATTATCTCTTAAATCAATAGTTGAAGCATCGAATGATGACAAAGAGTTCAAATTGATTAAGGACGCTTTGATAAAAAACACGTGGGATGTTTCAATAACTCATTATAAGCTATTTCAACATGAACTCTAGTTACATGATGGCGTTTTATTAAGAGGGAACAAAATTGTTGTATCAACTAAGCTGAGAAAACAAGTATTAGCAGCAGTCCTCGAAGGCCACCCTGTTATTGTTAACATGAAAGCTAGATTGCGCACAAAGGTTTGGTGGCCAAAGATTGACAAAGACGCCGATAGTACTGTAAAAAACTGCAGAGGATGTACATTATTAGTCTCAGCCCCAAACCCACCAATACCCATGAAAAGGCGTGAACTTCCTTCGCAAGCTTGGGTAGATACGGCTATTAATTTTTTTAGGTCCACTGCCTAGTGGGGATTATCTTTTAGTAATTATCGACTATTACAGCCGATACAAAGAGATTGAACCTATGAAATCTATTTCCGCTCATGACACAATAAAAGTCTTAAAAAGAATATTCGCACAAACAAGAAATCCTGCTAGTATAACAGCCCATAAATCATAATGGAAAACAGTTCTGTAGCCAGGATTTTAAAAAATTCTGCACTGAACAAGGCATAACACTTTTCAATACAATTCCTTACTGGCCACAGCAAAACGGGGAGGTAGAGAGGCAAAACAGGGATATACTTAAGCGAGGATAAGTCAATGTGGAAAATCTGATTGGAAAGATGATTTATTAAGTTACTTAATGATGTATAACAGCACACCTCACCCTTCCACAGGAAAAACCCCGTCCGAATAGTTCAGAGACAAGTTACTTTTTTTAACTGACCTTGAAAATAAATATGATGATTCTGAAATAAGAGACCGAGATAAAGAAAAAAAAAGAGAAAAATAAATTAAATGAAGACAGGAAGAGGAAAGCTACAGAAAGAGAATTAGAAATTGGCGAGAAAGTCTATGAAAAGAATGTAATAAAAGAAAATAAATTAGTTACTGAATTCAATCCGACACCACATACTGTTGTCAGTGCCGAGGGAAGCGACATAGTGTCAGGAATGAAGAAACAGGCCAGGAATATAGGAGAAATATAGTTCACCTCAAGAAAGTAGAAGGTCAATGGAAAGTAATTGATAATGACGAAAATTCTGATAAAGATGTTTAGTTAATATATAATAGATTTAAATGAAAAATATTGTTTTGTTGTTTCTAAATAATTGTATTTAAAATTAAAATAACTTGTGATTAAAATAATTATTTAACATATAAAAAGGAAGAGATGTGACATATAATAAAATATAGTTCACAAATCAACTGTGGCGCCTCACTCGCACTTCGATCTGTCATCGGAAGGGGTAAGACGTTCTCTTGAGTTGTGTATCTACTTACTGATAATTTGGTGGTTTTATTTATAATCCCGAGATATAAAAAAATTACATCACAGTGACCACAAACAGCTCAAGCATGCTTACATAAATAGCATTTCCGTGACACTTGTTACACTTGTTACACAGTGAGCTACCAATGCTAAGGAAAACGCTATGACCATAGCGTGATTTACTTTAGTGAAAAAAATAACAAAGACTAGTATTTTTTTTTTGTCCTTTTACTTATTTTTGCCAGAAACATGGCTGATTTATATATCTTTATAAATTCTTCTATTATAGTCCGAACTCCTTGCCTCTGTGCCGTTCATTTTAAGGCGCGAAAATGACACGCACATGTAGTTGATTAAAACAAGACTGAAACTTGCGCAAACTGCTTACTCACACGTTCATATAAACTTAGGCAAACGCAATAATGCGCAATTTTTAGAAGTGGAGATTTGAAATTTGAAACTTTCTTAAACATCTTGTACATGTCGGAAACTTGCCCAGTTTTTTTCAATATCGTTAAGTTCAGACTTGCACAAGTATTATAACGTGTGTGGCTGGCATTATATTAAAAATATAAATTAAAATTTTCTCTAAATATTTAGTTTGTAATTGCAACCAGTATGTAGAAAAAAATTATAAAACTTTAAAATATATATTCTTAAGAATAATATGTTTAACTCTATGTATTTATGGTTCTATATTCTGTGAATATCTAGTTTTGACGCTTCGGATGTTTGTAGTTTGACTTTTGACAAGACTATTTCACAATTCAGAGCTTGGAGGGAATTGTTTTAATAATTCTTAATGTGATTTCAGTGAATTAATTTAATATACTAAATATTATATTATAATAAAAATGGCTCTTTATTGTGCAAGTATGTATAACATTCTTTACTTATTAGGAATGCAATACCCGATAACAAAAGTGCGCTGCAACACACCGGTTATTTGTCCACCTACAATTGTAGATCGTTTTAGTTGTTGTGACAAAGAAAACTAATTTGAAATATTTATAACGCCGTGCCTATAAATATCGTACATCTAAATAGTACTACGTATTAATGATTGTATGATTTAGAAATTCTGATTTCTAACCTAATTTCAGTATCTAATGAAGTGCCAGAGGTTCCCGTCGTGTCCCCTTCGTCAGGATCAGTCTTCGAAAAGCGAATAATAGAGAAGTACATTATTGAAAATGGGGTAGACCCGATTAGCGGTAAAGAACTAAGAGTTGAAGACTTGATTGAAATAAAGAGTAAGTTAACGAAAATTTCATATAAATTCTCAAGCCACTGTTACTGGTTTTGATTTTATTAAACTAGTATGTAAATATTTTCAAATAATAAATTTTATTTGGAGTTTGAGGAATATATGGGAGCTTAGGACTGGTATTGGAAAGTCATTTTCAGAAATATTATAAGCTGTAAGGGAGGGTGGCTTATACTAGGGGTGGTGAAGGGTGGATGATGTAAATTATCTCCCGGTCCATAGTTCTAACCACCTCTAACTTCATTCAGTACAAAAGTCGTATCTCAATTTAATGGAAGATTAAAACTGTATAATTTCTTAACATATAACGCTTCACATCAATAACCTTTAATTAGATCCGAGGTTACTGTATTGGGAATGCAAAATCTTGTTGAGTCTTTAGATTATATTGCACTAGCTTTTGCCGCGACTACGTCCGCATGGAATAGTGACTTCTGGCAGATTTTTGGTTCTTCCCACATAGTTCCCGTTCTTGTGGGGTTTTCGGAATGGTCGAGTTCCCATAGAATTTTCAGGATAAAACCTATGTTTTTTTATTCACAATGAAGTACTCTTAACCAACAACATATTTGTTTGTTTATTTGAATAAAGATTAATATTATTATGTTGATACAACTTAAACAAATTATTTCGACCAAATTAGGTACCATAAAAACGGTTTTTGTGAGTTAATCTTAAAAGATAGACATATACTGTCGCGGACTGTTTTTTAGATCATTAAGGGAGCTATTATTATTCTTTAATACATATTTTTTGTGTATCTTGAACCGTTTTCACAGCGCACGCAACGGAAGGCTTCAAAGATGAAATAATATCTCCCGTTTTTTACACATTTACCACTATATCTTTGCTCCTATTGGTCGTAGCGTGATGTTATATAGCCCACAGCCTTCCTCGATAACTGGACTGTCCAATACAAAAAGAATTATTCAATTCGAACCAGTAGTTTCGGAGATTAGCGCTTTCAAACAAACAAACAAACTCTTCAGCTTTATAATATTAGTATAGATTAATTTGTATCAATATTCTCGGCCTTATATTTCAGCTCCAGCCATAGTGAAGCCCAAGCCCCCGAGTGCCACATCCATTCCCGCCACCCTCAAGAGTATGCAGGACGAGTGGGATGCACTCATGCTGCACACCTTCACTCAGAGACAACAACTACAGACGGCCCGACAGGTGACACTCAACTTCGTAGAATGAAAAACTAACATGAAAATACCTAGTAGTATATTAAATATGTTATACATACAACAAACAAGGTGAAGCCAAACTGGTACAGTGTATTATTATTTGTGGCTATCTACAAATGTGACCTAGTTTCATTAAAATATGAATGCTATTATAGTGTGTTTGATTTAAGCTGAGCTTTGCATTTGTGTGAGTGCACACGGATAGTATAGGTGTGATGTAAAATTTTTGAATGCCACATTCTTTTCTAGTTTTGAACCAGTTTATTCTGCTTTTACTTCGCCCCGCACCTTCTGCACTTCACCCATTGTATTGATAGCAACGTCAAATGTTGAGAACGCAATGTCAAGTCAAGAAAAATTTGTATTGTTTTTTCAAATTTTTTATTTTTCAATAATTTTTTTCCATAATATTTCCATTTGGCCTTAATTTACAATTTTTTCTTATTTCATATTTAATCTATAATAGCTCTAGCACTTATGTTATGTATCTATTTTAAAAATAATAAAATTCAATTCTAAAAGTTTTCTGTCTAAAGCTACTTTTACTTTCACTCACACAAATGCACAGCTCAGCTTAAGTCTAACAGACTATACATTATATTATAATATGGTTGTGGCCAGTGGCGGCTGGTGGGTTATCGAACTGGTGGTGCACTTTAATAAAATGTTAAAATTAGAAAATGCAACAAAAAACCAATTTACATAAAATATGTTTAATTTTTAAACATTAAATCAATGCGACGACATTTTTATGAAGCGAAATGTTTAATCACCTTTTTATTAAAATCGGGTATTGTTTATAAAATTATTTTTTTCAATACTAAGCATAGAAAGTGCATTTAGCAAGTGCACGGTATTTCGGAGAAAAGTTTTGATTCTTTGACCAATTCGTCATACATCGGGTGCTCTTGGTAATCTTCGGCCGCTCGTGCGGCGCTCGAGAACCGACTCATTACTCGGTACATTTCTATGAACTATCTTTTGTTTCACGCGTCAGGCGTATTAATGCGTATCTCATACAAGATGTATTAGGAGTCCACTCGCCGAAGCGCACGAGATATTAGTTCAGTAAAGCGCAGAAACTTTTTGACTATAATTAGAAATTTAATTTTTTATACGTTTTTGTATGTTTAGAAAATAAATATTAAAATGGTAATTTAAAAATAAAGATGAAGTATTATTTTGTAATTTTTAAATCTTTTGAATTGGTGGTTCAGCGCACTAGTGCACTTTAGGTACAGCCGCCACTGGTTGTGGCTATTTGAACTAGTATTTGTGACTATCAATAAATGTGACCGAGTTCCATTAAAATGTGCATGTTATTATATGAATTTATTAAACATAACTTATTTCAAGGAGAGTATTCCATTTCCAATCTTAATTATTTAATGAAGGTAAAACAACAAGAAAATCAATAAAAAATAAGTCAACATTCAAATTCTGCAAATATAGTAAGTCATAATATAAGAAACATTTTGACATATTGTTTCAATGTTCAAAACAATGAATTGGAGTTAAATATTGTGGCTTGAGTAAAATTGTGTACAATTGCTGTTAAAATTAAGTCAACTATGTAATGAATGATGAGTAGTTTTCATTCAAAAATTCAGGTCAATTATTTTTAAATCTCCAACACATGTGTTAATGTACCATGGTATGATTTCCAGGAGCTGAGTCACGCCTTGTACCAGCACGACGCAGCCTGTCGTGTCATCGCTCGCCTCACCAAGGAGGTGACGGCTGCCCGGGAGGCCCTCGCCACACTCAAACCACAGGCCGGGCTCGCCGCGCCGCAACCTGCTCATCAAGTATACTATATATACATACATTATTATAAGTTGCATAATAATAATAATCTTTATTCACAAAAAAAGTTACAAAGTATAATCAAGTCCCTGATTTCTGAGCTTATCTCAAAGACCTGTATTACAGAAATCAGTGTCCTCTCTCATATTTTAGTGTCTTATCGTTCTATGTAAATAAAAATAAATGATAAATAATTATTTCTTACTGTATACTAGAGTAGAGTGTTTGTGTATGTGTGTATGCATGCTCCAGAGATGTTTCTGCTTATATTGAAAGAGCAATGTTTTTTTTTTTTCAATAAAAGTTAATGTAGAATCTAGAAACAGTAACACTATTCATTTGTCAATGTGATAATTATTTTCAAATATAATATATATATACATTTATTATGTATAACGAACTCTGTTCCTCTCGTTCCAGGTGGAGGCGGCTGCAGCGGGCGCGGCGGCGGTGGGCATGTCCCCGGAGGTGGTGTCTCGTCTCCAGGACCGCGCCACCGCCCTCACACAGGAACGCAAGCGACGAGGACGAACGGTTCCCGAGGGACTTGTGGGACCAGACACCATACGCTCCTTCGTCACGCTCGCCTCACATCCTGTCAGTACATATAATATTAAATATATAGCCAGGAGTCTCTATAAAGAAGACTTGAGTGATAGGTGTGTGTCATGTAGGGTCTCCACTCGGCCAGCGTGCCCGGCATTCTGGCCCTGGACATCAACCCGTCGGACCACAGCCGCATCTTGACGGGCGGCAACGACAGGAACGCGACCGTGTTCAACAAGGACACGGAGCAGGTGGTGGCCATCCTCAAGGGACACACCAAGAAGGTGACGCGCGTCATCTACCACCCCGACGAGGACACCGTCATCACCGCCTCGCCCGACCACACCATCCGCGTGTGGAACGTGCCCACGTGAGACTCATACATACATATATAATACACTTGTTTAACAGAGATATACATATATATAGTTAAAGTTAATATATATAGATAGTTAGACCCAGTTTCACCAATCAATGTTTGTTTTATCTAAGCCCAGCTTTCGCTAACCAACCTTCAAAATTATAAATGTCTGTTAAAATATTTACTTCCCATGATGAAAATTTAAATTAACAACGCATTATTAAACGTCATGTCAAATGACCGACTACCAAATTATTCGTTCTTGTTATAAGACGACCAAATGGAAAGTATAGCGTTTAATACTTCACGTTTGCCACGATGCACCACTTTATACTTTGATCGTATATATCCCTTGATACGTCACTTGTAAGCTAATGCGGCCAAATTTTATACATCGTTGGTTGCATACATTTACCACACAAAAAGCTTTCTTTTCAATATACTAGGTGTTACTTGTCAAAATTGTGTTATATATTATTGTTATAAATATAGACATAAATTGTGTTCAAATTAAGAAATAAAAAGAAAACTTAATTTGCAATTTCATAGAAAAGCTGGAGGCAAAATCATCATACTAAATGACATTTTAATTCATTTTATTAATAATAACAAGAAAATAGTCGAAACTGACAAAACAGATGACGTTACTAAGGTTACAAGAAATCAGGGCTGTGATTGGACAATTGAGTTTTGACAATGCCATTAACATTCTGTTAGCCATTAGACGGAGCTTCAGAGCAGGAATTAATATTAGTGGATGGTTAAGACAATTTAAACGGACATTAGTGCGTGGTCGAACGCTCGATACATCTAACAGAGCATCAAACGCCTTAACACGATGTTACTTATTTAACATTGATTGGTGAAACTGGGTCTTAAAATTGCATCGTGTTTAACAGAATGGTTTTTATATCGTTTGCCGTGTCCCCAGGTCGCAGACGACGGTGCTGCTGCGGTCTCACGAGGGTCCGGTCACCGGGCTGTCCCTGCACCCCACCGGGGACTATGTGTTGTCCACCTCCACCGACCAGCACTGGGCCTTCTCAGACATCCGCACTGGACAACTGCTTACTAAGGTGAGGCCACAGTGTGTACCCAAAATAAAAACTATTGAAACACACCTAATATACTGTCCTATTTGTGTAGGTGAGTGATGCATCCGGAGTGAGCCTGACGACCGCGCAGTTCCACCCTGACGGTCTGATCTTCGGTACCGGCACGGAGAACTCTCAGGTGAAGATCTGGGACCTCAAGGAGCAGAGCAACGTGGCCAACTTCCCCGGACACGTGGGCCCCGTCACCTCCATCTCGTTCTCCGAGAACGGCTATTACCTGGCGACGGCGGCCGAGGACGCGTGCGTCAAGCTGTGGGACCTGCGCAAGCTGAAGAACTTCAAGAGCATCCAGCTGGACGAGGGCTACGTGATCCGCGAGCTGCGCTTCGACCAGAGCGGCACGTACCTGGGCGTGGCGGGGTCGGACGTGCGCGTGTTCCTGTGCCGCCAGTGGCAGGAGCTGCGCGTGCTGGCCGACCACACGGCCGCCGCCACCGGCCTGCGCTTCGGACGGGACGCCGCCTACCTCGCCTCCACCTCCATGGACCGCACGCTCAAGATATATGGCCTGCAGTGACCCACAGCCCTGCTGTCTGTACCTACCTAGTGTGTTACTATAGTTATATACGACGGATTCTTATATTCATAGAATAGACTCTTTGTTTGTCTCCTCGGACGGCGTCAATAAACTGACTGACGGACAACATGTGTTGGTCCCTACATACATTAATATTGGACGAGTGATTTGTTTGAACATATGTAATTTCTCTTATAAAACCAGTGTTTGATTGAATTTAAAGAACGATCCACGTTTCAATTACATATTTACCATGTTCTATATATTTTTTCAATAAATATAAAAAAAATACATATAATATTTTTATTTTATATAACATCTAAGTTTTATTTTTTTGCTGAATTTTAATATTTGAAAATTGATTACATAATTAGATCTAAATGAACAAGTTATGTGAAGATTATTATACCAGAAAAAACAGAATAGGTTTTATAGAGTAGATCAGAGTTTATCAGATAAGACAAAATAACTTGTTTAATGAGAACGAGAATTAACATTGTTTTATAAATGAAAATAAGACAAATATATTTACTACATTAATAGTAGTATAGTATTAGTAGTAGTATAGTACTATATTAACAATATAAAAGAAAGGACGATCTTGATCAGGGCAGTACCACCCTCTCACAGAAGATCTGCGTGAAGTAACCTTTAATGGCTGCGTTTCGTCCGATGAGTGAGAGAGACGGTTGCTTGTTGCAGTTTCCCACCATTTTCTCTCCGTCTTCCACTAAAGACATATCATATCTTATAAAACACTAAAGACATATCCTAGAGATTTTCTTATAAATATTTGACTTCTAATCATCTTCACCTGTAATTCCTGGGGTCCTCTCAGGTCCGGGGACCGACTAGTTATAAATGACAGAGTAGGGTCCATCGATTATGTGGAGAAAATGTCAAAATAAAGGTAAGATACTGACAAACTCACAGACACTCTCTAGGACATTCATATGAAATAAACTAGTCTATTTTTCTGAAGGAACTTGTTTGCAGTATAGTGACACTCTAGATCAGGGGTGGCCAACTTGATTAGACCTAAGATCTACTGTTTACTAACAAAACTCTGTGCGATCTACTAAGTACATACTTCTTGAAATGGATCTGCATAGTTTAATACGCAATCATGTATTTTTTATTAACCAGTCTTAGTAGTTTCTTTTCATATCACATGTGAGATCGTTTTCTTAAATTTACTTAACATTATATGGGTCCTATATACATATTAGTGTGAGCATTGCGCCTGAACATTTTCCACTACAATAGTTAGCAAATAATAAGATTATGAGGGTCTGTCAAGCGAGAACGGTGTTTAGTTTTGGTTTGTTTTAAGTAGGAAAATGCTGATTCAGATAAATATGTTGAACCAAAACAAGAATGAAGTTGTTCAACATTTTTTTTCAAATTTGGATACTTTTCTTTGGAAACCAGTGGCCAGAAATCTTGACCTGAGGAAGACGTTGCTTTTAGAAGTATGTTGCATCGCAGAGTAATGATTTCGTTTTGTAACATCATTTGGTTCATTTGAAATGTATCTGCAAAATTTTGTAGCCAATTCATGGATATCACTGTGGTTAATTGCCTCATTAAACGGATAACTTATAAATGGAACCAACTTCTCAATATGTCTGAAATCACTAAACCGAATTTCAAAGCCTGCTATCACTAATTTCTGTCGTGTACTTCTCAGAAATGAAATTATAGGTAGGATGCTTTTCCACATGATCCTTGATGTTTACAAAAGTGAAAAAAAAAATATATATAGTAGTATGAAACCTATTAGAAAGGGAGGGGAATATTTTAAAAATAATTTACGGGCGATCTGAAGTCATGAAAGGTATGAAGGTGGATATTTAAGGGTAAAAAATGGGTTTTCTCGATTTCCAGCAAAACTAAACGTCCTACGAAAAAAAGTTATATGACAAAGTTGTAGGTAATAAAAAGATTCTAAACTTTTGTACGTGCATTTTTTTCACATAATCTCAAAATTTATGTGAAAAATTCATAGAACCAACTTTTTTATTTTATATTTTTATCTTTTCCAAAAAACAATATTTTGTCACGAAATTTAGTGAAAACTTATCTTTTGATGTCCTACTGTAAGGGGCCGTTCAAGTATTACGTAATCACTATGGAGGGGCGGGGGGGTCTTTGCTGTGCTTATTTTGGATGTCATGGGGGGTAGGGGAGTCTAGGTGATGATTACGTCATCGGTAGTTATTTACTTTTTAATCGTCACATCGAGAAGATCCATAAAAAAATATAATTATAATTTTTTTCTGGATTTATATGAAAAAAAAAAACAATATAGTAATTGAAAATGTTTACGTAAGCTTAGGGGGAGGGGGTAAAGGCTTTGCTTACTTTTGCTGACAAGGGGGATGGGGGGGTAAATAATTGTAATAAATCTGCTTACGTAATACTTGAACGGCCCCTAATTTATTTGATTAGAAATATTTATTTTTTCAGTTTATTTTGAATAAATACCATAAATCAGCCTCATTTTCAATCGAAAAATCACACGTCTAAATATCAGCTTTTTTCAAAAATTTGGTATGATATCTATTTGTTGAAATCTCTATTTTCCGATGATGTAGAACCGATCTCAGATAGCCCGTAAATTATTTTTCCTTCAATCTTTATAATATTTCCCCCCTTTTCTAATGGGTTTTATCTTACTATAATTTTTTTATGTTTTAAAAGCTATCGACACTGGTCTAAATTGCCCGAATTTTTTCTTTTCTATGTCAACTATCATAGATTCCTTCTGATTTTGAAAAAATCACGCATTGATGACAATCATCACCCCTTTCATCGAGAAATATTATTATTTCTTCCAAGAGATTTCGAAATGTTTGCATAAATTTGCTTTGGCTTAACCACCTTACGTCAATGTGCAATGCCAATTCTGGTTGCTTTTCATCTAATTGCTGTTTAAAGAGTCGACTTGGAAGGGATTTTCCTTTTATGGAATTTACAATTTTAAAAGAAATTAATGTCGTCAACCTGACCGATTATTGGGTGACACGGGACGGATTGACACTTGAGACACGGCGCTCCCCCGTAACACACACGCTTCCCGCTTATTGGTCATTGCGTATCGAAAACAAAACACTACTTTGTAGAATAGAGCATAAATAACGTGACGGAACAGCGATTGAAAAATGATACAAGACGGTGCTGCAGTTGTTGATAATTAAAATGCACAGTCTGGTCTATTTATTTATATTTTTTGTCTGGCCACGATCGACTGGACTAACGATCGCGATCGACCGGTTGGCCACCCCTGCTCTAGGGAGATGTTTGAGTTAGGCGAGTGCGTTAGGATGAGCTTAAAATATGACTTGTGATTAGGGCCCGGATAAATATGTATTAAAAAATCTAAAATATGTACATAAAATATGGACGAAAAAATCAAAAATATGGAGTATAAAAAAATACTTTCATAATTAAACATTGTTTTACTATAAGAAAAGGGTCTCTCGTGACGTACATCGTAAAGTTACATTTAAAAAACGTTGAAAAGAACTAGCGAAATATTAATTTCAACAAAAAATAAGTTTTATTCAACTTCCATTGCACTAGCCTTATCAAATTGGTTGCAATACACAATGACGTGCTTCTTTAAATTATCAAAATGAAAACTGACCATTTGGTTGAAATATAGCCTTATATCTGCTGAATGATCTCACCACGTCACATGACGTGATGGATGCATAGTTAAAACATACTTAATTCAGTAATTGTGTAAGCCCTGTCTACAGCCCTCGAAACTTTCGCTCAGAATATTGTTATTTTTTTTTAGCGTATTAATCCTTTATTTTTATCGAAATCATTAGTGGCGGGCACGTAAATTTTATCTATTTTTGTAAATATATGGATGATTGTGATATTTCTTTGTAAAATATGGACTTAACTTTGAAATATGGTAAAATATGGAAAAATATGGAAAATAAAAGTTGTTTTTCACCGTCTAAATATGACAATCCATGTACAAAACACATTCTAGACCGAAAATCGCGTAAATTAAAAATATGTATTTACATATTAATCCGGGCCCTACTGATGATACTCCATCAGGCTAGGTCTTGCTTTAAAAAGCACTTTTTCAATACAAACTTTCTTATTAGGGCTAATTCCGTAAAAGGAACAACAGATTGCCTATTTTTTCACATTTACACCAATATAGTCCGAAGATGCAGTGTTTACTATGGTAAGGCGACTAAATCTTTATATTATTATTATTTCTCGATATTAGTATTCTGTCTATTTAAGTATTTAGCTAAGATTTGTGATATTTTCTAGTCTTTGAAGTTTTCGCGTTATGTTAAAGATTTTGCCCATGTCAAATGTGTTTATTGCAAAAACTATGTTTACTAGAACGGAGAAAAATTTTACGTAAATTTTGAAAGATGTCTAGACGGAGTTAGCTACACAGGAACTTTTCTCATTAAAACACTCAACTGCTGATTTTGAAGACGTTCTTCCACAATGATATTGATTTATTAATATAATTAATCTCTAATGTCCTTGCAACCTCTTGCCTGAATTAAGTTGGCTTACTTTACAACATATATACAGGGTGACTGGTGAATTACTATCAATATTTAAGGAGAATACTCGGTACATGATTCTCATTTGAATTATGTCAAAAAAATAGGTACTTAATTTTTTACCAAATTTCCGTATAAATAAATAAAGTGTGGACATGTTCCAAGTGTGGACGCGTGCGGCGGCGTGCTGATACAACACCACGCCTCCGCACACGTGTATGTGTATACCTAATCTGTCGGGTGTTCACACGATGCGTAATTAATTACATAACTTTTGGTTAACTTTACTTAGAAGTTTATTAATATTTATGTTATATTAATTTTTATTTTGTCATATATGATCGTGAAATATCACGTCCTCAAGTATCGATAGTAATTCACCAGTCACCCTGTATATTCGTTATATCCATTTGTATGTAAAATAAGTTATTCACCTTAGACTATTCATTGTATTTTATAAGTCTCAAAGCAGCTTACTGTGAAGACAGGTTAGGGAATTAGTTAAAATTACATCTTAAGTTAAATTGAATGATTGTTGAGAACATAAGTATTTTAAGTGCATGAGCATTGCCCCACGACGGACGGAGTGATTTTATAATATTTATTTGTTCATTTATAAATCTTAGTAGCACATCTGTTGCTCGAGGTACAGTTTTAGACTTGTTTTTTAATGAACGTTCAGCGTTACTTCTAGTAATGTCTCACAAAGTGGCTGAAGTCAATATCTTTAGTTTTCAAATACAAGTAGGTACTTAAATGTTGCCATTACAAAATTACTTTAATAAATTATAAGCAATGATAAAAATGATTGTAAGGATTATAGTATATTATAATTAGTGCGGCACGGATGGCGCCATTTATAACAAACAATACAGTGGCTCATTTTAATAAGTTTATTGCGAGCTATTTAAATGATTAAAGAATATAAGTTAAGGATGTAATCAGGAGTAGTAGTGCCGTCTCGCTTATTCGTTATTGTGAAGGAGTGAGAGGGAAGGAGCAGGTTCAATAAACACTACACGACCTTTCATAGCATTTAATAATTTACATAAAACTTGAAGATTATTTACATACTCTTATGATACAGGAATATTGTTAGAGAACTACCGACAGACAATAAGGATAATAAAACAATACAAGGCGAGGCGTCCGAGGCACGAGCGACGGGCTTGAGGCGAACCCGGGGGACATACATAGTGTGTCAGGTGTCAAAGGTCAAGGGGTCACTGTCCGGCGACCTCGACACTAGTGTCCATCAGTCACAGTAGACACGAACAGTCCAGTCCCCTTCACGAACAAGATACCGGACTGTGTTGAGCGTGATGTAAGCTAGTGATGAGGTCGCAGGTCACAGGTCGGACTGTCGTGGCTCCGGACGCCCCTAGCGCTAACTTAATGTTACTTCGTTAATTTTCTGTAGATCTAACCTATAGTATGTTATATAACGTATCTCTGACCGCTGGCGTGTGAGGTCGCGTGTCGTTAAAGCCCTTACCGCTAGTCTCCTCTCCTAAACATCGCCACATACAATTTCACAACTACTCCAGCCCCCGACTCCGCCCGCTGTCATATGTTCCTTACTCTACTGTATACACGTCCGCGGACCGTGAGGAATGTTTCCTTTGATGGGACAAAATTTTGCCGTAAAAAAATATATCTATTATATGAATCTGTATATATAACGAGGAGACTGCGCTAAACTAATGGATTTAATGCAACGATAAAACTATACAAGTGTTTGATGGCCGCTCCTCTGGGATCATTACGGTGAAAAAATATTCTATCAAGCGACGAGACGTGTGTGTGTGTGTGTGTTTGTGTGTGTGTGATGACGTCACCGCAGGGCCGCCAGCAGCGTCCACGTGTGTGTTCGGTCCGGGTGTGTGTGTGTGTGTGAGGGGGGCGGAGGTCACGCGAAGATGAGCCACAGCACGAACAGGATCGCCACCCACAGGAAGATCTTGGACAGGAACTGCTCCTCCTCGTACTGGGCCGTGCCGCGAGGCGCTGCGGACACACGGACACATGCGATACATTACACTGAGAACGACATATATATTATATTATATACAATAATATAAACTAATCTGAAACGCATGCGTTAGTTTATAGGACACCAAAATCACATCATCTTTTCAAGAGTTGTCTTCCTATTTGTGTGGGCGATCTTTGGAACGACTGGACCAATTTAGGTGGAACTTTCACTGCCAGGCAGTTATTACACAGCAATTAGAAGTAACTAAGGGTAGTTTTTAAAATACTTCCTGAAGTAGGAAGTTCTAGAGTTAATTAAAGACCAAATTTGACCTTTACCGAGATAGTTTGAGATAGTCCACGGTCACCAAGTCAGAATATGTTGTAAGGATCTTCGGGAAGTCGAATAAAACGTCATAAGTATAAACAAGTATTTCAAAAACCGTTTCATAGGGGTCAAAGCCGCTGTTCACAGCTAGCTACATATAAATATAGACTGAAAATATTGTGCTGTAGCTAAGAAAATATCTATGGCAGTGTACATCATGAACTTTCCTACGCGAGCAGACCTTGATTCAATTATTTATTAATATTAAAACTACATAATTATCATGTATTCTGTTCCTCGTTCCTTAAGGTTGTTGACATTAAAAGAATTTAATTATTAATGGTATAGATCAACTTTCACTTTCAATTTCAAGCTACAGTTTTGAAGTTCCTATTCCTTTAAAATAAATGTTTCTATTTGATCATTTTATTGATATTAATCAACATTTTATTCGTCCACCTAGTGTCTAAGTGTATGTATTGTGTTGTCTGTGTGTAATATCTGTCTATTTCTCACACACATATTGTTTTCTACCGTTATTGTCTCCGCGGGGTTATTTAGGACGTGGCGATCACCTTCTCGCTTCTAACTACATTTATATCAAGGTGTTCAAATTAATTTTTCTTGTATTTTTGTTTAAATACAAGACAAATTACTATACCTTTCCGTTATTATTAAAAAAATAATAATATAAAAGTAAAGATTAGAGTTAAATAACGTAAAAAAAATATAGTAAGGAATTATTTTTGGATTTTTCTTTAAAAAGAACGCACGTTTTTAAAACATACTAAGATGTGGTTAAAACACTCTCTTGTTTTTATATAAATCTTTAACTTTAATGAACTTCATTACAGTGATTTTAAACAATCTTATCTAGTGATAACGGAGCCTTGAGTGTTGAGGAGAGACGCGACCGCTGTTACAATAATATTATGTGTAACTGTGAACGGCTGTTTGTTTTGAAACTCAGGAGTCTTATGTACAATACTTAGAGATAATAATGTTCATGATGTATTTATAGGACAGTGCTGAAGCCTCTAAAATTAATGAAAAGTGAAAATAAATTATAGTAGAATGAAACTCATTAGAAAGGGAGAGGAATATTATAAAAATTATGGGGAAAATAATTTACGGGCGATCTGAGGTCGGGAAGGGTATGGGGATGGGTATTTAAGGGTACAAAATGGGTTTTCTCGATTTCCGACAAAACTCAAATTCTTACCGAAAAAAGTTATATGGCAAAATTGTATTTAATAAAAAGATCTAAAACTTTTGAACTAACATTTCTTTCACGTAACCTCAAATTTTATGTAAAAAATTCGAAAAACCAAGTTTTTGGTTTTTTATTTTTATCTCTTACAAAAAACAATATTTTTCGTGACAAAATTAGAAAGAGCATTTTCCAAACGATATCGAGTGTCATTTCATTAAAAAGGACATGATGATTTTATCCAAAAAAGGTACTGCAAGTGAGAAACTTATATTTTTTCTTCACCATCGGAAAATAGAGATTTCAATAAACAGAAAACACACCAAAATTTTGAAAAACGCTTATATTTTGACGGGTGATTTTTCGATTGAAAATGAAGCAAATTTTTCGGTATTTATTCAAAATAAGCTGAAAAAATGAATATTTCGAATCAAATAAATTACAGTGCATTTGTAACATCAAAAGGAAAGTTTTCACCAAATTTCGTGACAAAATATTGTTTTTTGGAAGAGATAAAAATAATAAACCAAAAACTTGGTTTTTCGAATTTTTCACATGAATTTTGAGGTTATGTAAAAAAAATGTTAGTATAAAAGTTTTAGGTCTTTTTATTACCTATAATTTTGTCATATAACTTATTTCCGTAGGACTTTTAGTTTTGTCGTAAATCCAGAAAACCCATTTTTTACCCTTAAATACCCATCCCCGTATCCTTCTCGACCTCAAATCGCCCGTAAATTATTTTTCCTTTAATTTTTATAATATTCCCTCTTTTTGTAATGATTTTGATTCTACTATAATCTATACTAATATTATAAAGCTGAAGAGTTTGTTTGTTTGTTTGTTTGAAAGCGCTAATCTCCAAAACTACTGGTTCGAATTGAATAATTCTTTTTGTGTTGGATAGTCCAGTTATCGAGGAAGGCTGTGGGCTATAAAACATCACGCTACGACCAATAGGAGCAAAGATATAGTGATAAATGTGTAAAAAACGGGAGAAATTATTTCATCTTTGAAGCCTTCCGTTGCGTGCGCCGTGAAAACGGTTCAAGATACACAAAAAATATGTATTAAAGAATAATAGCTCTTTTAATGATCTAAAAAACAGTCCGCGACAGTATATGTCTATCTTTTAAGATTAACTCACAAAAACCGTTTTTATGGTACCTAATTTGGTCGAAATTATTTGTTTAAGTTGTATCAACATAATAATATTAATCTTTATTCAAATAAACAAATAAATATGTTGTTGGTTAAGAGTACTTCATTTTGAATAAAAAAAAACAAAGGTATTATCCTGAAAATTCTACGGGAACTCGACCATTTTGAAATCACCGCAAGAACGGAAACTATGTGGGAAGAACCAAAAATCTGCCGCAAGTCACTATTCCACGCGGACGCAGTCGCGGCAAAAGCTAGTTTAATTATATTTTAAAAGCTATCGGCACTGGTCTATTAATAAATCTGCATTTAATGAGCCGAAACTTCTCAACATGCGTGTGTCGGGTCCATCGTTGTAGAGAGAGGAGCTTCATCAGTGCCTGGGACTTGCGACCCAGGTGTAGGTTTAAGGGGCCCCTATCTAACGAGCGTTATACGCTCACCTCCACCGTCCGAGCTTCTCTCTCTACCTAATTCTCAGAGTTATATTTCCAAGCTAACAAAAATATCAACACTGATGACCTCTCTATTGACTGTAACTTTTCCTTGAACTTAAAAAAACAAAATCTCTGCATGTCCGGTAATGTTATCATTGTTACTATACTTTTGATTTTAGTATTTAAACTGACAGACAGACGCTACACGTAGTTTCGTCAGGCCTGATTGTATGTAAGGAGGTAAGGTATGTGCCTCACCGGCGCTGGGCCTAGGGTCGCCGAAGTTGAATGTGGAGGTGAAGGGGAAGACTCCGATGCCGAAGGACATGTGGAACCCCTCGCCGAAACCGAAGCCCGGGAACCCGCTGCTGCTCTCCGGTTCCGAGCGCTGCCCGGCCGGCCGCGGAGGGACCTGACACACACACATATACATGATATACTGAGGGATAACGAAAATATAGGAAAAGGCAATATCTTAATTAGATTTAGGTGAAAAGTTATCTTAACAAAAACTGTATTTTATTTTTCGTCGTGACGTCACAATATAAGTTCCTACCTGTAATTGCTTACAGCTGACAAACGACTTGGGATTGTAACGTATTGTAGAATAAGGAAAAATACATGACCATAGATACAAATACTATTTCTAAGTATTTTATATAATTAATCATTTTTTGTAATAAATTGAATGTATAGTATTCCTTGAATAACTTTTTGCTTAACTCCAAATCAATATCTCAAACTAGAAGTTTCAAGGAAAAAATAATAAATTCGTGTATCACTGTTTAGTGCTCTTTGTATAATATTGGTATTTTAGATTCTTATACTGCGTTAGTTTGTGTTACATGAAATAGAATATCTGTAGTATCTCACGTCATTTATTCGGCTTTCGTTATAATTGTGGCATGTTTTAAATAAGAAGAAAACGTTTGATATTAATATTAACTTGTAGACCTTGTAGTAACAGCTCGCCTTTAGAATTGACCCTTATAAATATATTGCTTCGTTTTAAAAACATCATTATCTAATAAACTAAATGTTACTTCAACAGAATTTAAACTACGAATTACTGTAATAGTTATGTATAGTGCGTTTGATTTAAGCTGAGCTTTGCATTTGTGTGAGTGTACACGGATAGTGTAGGTGTGATGTCAAATTATTGAATGCCACGTTCTTTTCTAGTTTTGAACTGCTTTTATTCCGCCCCGCACCTTCCTCACTTCACCTTTTGTACTGACAGCAAAATCAAATGTTGAAAACGTAATAACAAGTGAATAAGAATTTGTATAGCTTTCCAAAATTTTCATTAATCAATATTTTTTTTCCATAATATTCAAAATATTTCCATCTGGCCTTTTACAAGTTTTGCTAATTTTATAGCACTTTAGTCATGACCTATTTAAAATATAATAAAATTTAATTCTAAAAGTTTTTTTGTCTAACCCTACTGTTACTTTCACTCACACAAATGCAAAGCTCAGCTTATAGACCAGTGCCGATAGCTTTTAAAACATAATTAAATTATAGTAGAATGAAACTCATTAGAAAAGGAGGATAATATTATAAAAATTAAAGGAAAAATAATTAATTTACGGGCGATCTGAGGTCGGGAAGGGTATGGGGCTGGGTATTTAAGGGTAAAAAATGGGTTTTCTCGATTTCCGGCAAAACTAAAAGTCCTACGGAAAATGTTATATGGCAAAGTTGTAGGTAATAAACAGACCTAAAACTTTTATAAAAACATTTTTTTTACATAACCTCAACATTTATGTGAAAAATTCAAAAACCTAGTTTTTTGTTTTTTATTTTAATCTCTTCCAAAAAAGAATTTTTTGTCACGAAATTTGGTGAAAACTTTCCTGTTAATGATATAAATGTACTATAATTTATTTGATTAGACATATTTATTTTTTCAGCTTATTTTGAATAAATACCGAAAAATCAGCCTCATTTTTAATCGAAAAATCACCCGTCAAAATATCAGCTATTTTCAAAAATTTGGTATGTTTTAAATTTTTTGAAATCTCTGTGATGGTGAAGAATAATATAAGTATATAAGTATAAAATATAAGTTTCTAACTTGCAGTACCATTTTTGGGTAAAATAATCATGTCCCTTTTAATGAAATGACACTGGATACCGTTTGGAAAATGCTCTTTCAATTTATTTTTAATACTTTTAGCAGCTTAATGTAAATTACCTAAAAGGGACTTCCAGAGTACACAACTATTAAAAATAAATTACAAAGAGCATTTTCAAAACGATGTCATTTCATTAAAAGACAACAACGTGACTCGTGACAAAAAATTGTTTTTTGGAAGAGATAAAAATAAATAACAAAAAACAAGGTGTTTTGAATTTTTCACATAAATGTTGAGGTTATGTGAAAAATATGTTTTTATAAGTTTTAGGTCTTTTTATTACCTACAACTTTGCCATATAACATTTTTCCGTAGGACTTTTAGTTTTGCCGGAAATCGAGAAAACCCATTTTTTACCCTTAAATACCTATCCCCATACCCTTCCCGACCTCAGATCACCCGTAAATTATTTTTTCTTTAATTTTTATAATATTCCCCTCCTTTTCTAATGAATTTCATTCTACTATAATTTATTTTAATTTTTCATTAATTTTAAAGGCTTCTGCACTGGCCTGTTAAGTCTAAAGGACTATACCTTATTATTGACAAAATTCACTGGGACTTTAAAACACCTAACATTGTGTCAAACCGTGGGTCACGTGGTTACTGTGAGACACATAAACATTGTGACGTCACACACCACGCGATCAAAATCACGTGACGTAAAACAAGCATTTTTTTATCATTTGATAATATTATTTACAATAAACATTGAATTAACAATAACATGAAGTAACATTTGTCAATAACTCGATTTTTTAACATATAGATAATGTTGATAGTATTTTTTCCTCAAAATTTGCTATCCTTGTTATAAAATATACTATAAAGTGCCCTTGAAGCAATCCATTATCAGGCAATTAAACAGTTGTTTTGTGCAAATAAACGAAAGAATAACAAGTTATACACAAACAGATTGTAAAAAAGACTCAAAAACATGTTGCCAACCGAAAACTATCACGATACATAAATAATAAAAAAACGAAAAGGACGCAATGTAGCCAACATTATAAGAAAGATTTCACAGGAACTGGCATTACTGTTTTTTAACATAGATGAAATGAGTTCAGCTGATACTGATCGAAACAATTCATCGACAATAATAGGACTTTTTAAAGGGACTAGAAAAAATATTTACAACATACATTCACAGAACTTATAAAAGATACAAATAACAAAAACAAAACATAAAACATGTGACGTCTCGAAGTTATTATTTATCCTCAAATGTGTCGCGTCTGTTACAACAGATATAAAAAAAAATAAAAAAATCAACATAATGTTATGCAAATTTCATCAAGAATTTACAATGTTAATGAAGTATGAATTTTTAATGTATGCGACAAACACAATGTGTTATTGAATATTTAACTTTCGTTATTATTGTTTAAGAAATACGAAACGGTATTAACATGAAAATTAAACTCCACATTCCGATGGCCGCCTGAAACATTGTATAGTGATACAAGATAGTTGTCAGAATGTCAAACATACATTATCGGAATGCGTCATTAGTGACGTTGAATAAGGCCTACACTCATCTACAACAATATGGCCGAATGAAAACTATATACAATATCATTTTATACTAAAAAAAGATTTATAGGCTATACAGGTTCACTTCAAATTCTATTGACTATAAACAATGTATCAAAAATATTTAATTTTTAATTGCTTTTGGACACAAAAAAGGTTTGTATAAACTTCAAAACTGTTCGGAAAGCAATGGAATTCATTAAGAGACGAAACTTCTCAGCATTCCATGGATTTAATGGGGGGGGGGCCGGGTTTATCACTTAACAGGGAGAGGAGCTGAAAGAGTGCCTGTGACTTATGACCTAGGTGTAGGTTTAAGGGGCCTCTATTGTTAAATGCTCACTTCCACTCTAGAGAGATTTCTATGTAACCAAATTTGAAACTAATTTACAATGGTTACCTTCGAAGTACACATGACTATACAGTAATATTATATTTTAATATTTTTTGCAATAAATAAAGGTTATGAAATACCTAAACTGTTCTTATTATTCATCACACTTGAATTTTGTTACACAATACTTAAAAATAAAAAAAAGAAATACTAAATGTAGTCCTGTATATAGAAACATTTTTCAATTAATGTAAATATAAATATATCCTATTTGAATATGTATAAAAATAAACCCAATATTTTAAGAATGCAACTTTCAATATTAAGAATTGATTTTAAAATACATGTTTTGTTTTTTATTGATGACAATGCTTAAAACATGCACACAATGCTCCAGAACCAAACAGCTTGTTATTATCAATGTATTTAAAGCAAGGTAATAACAGAAATATCAGTAAAGTAATATAGGTACATAGGTAATTTATTTTACAGTATTTTAAAAGAATGTATGTTTGAGAGAAGCATACTCAGAAATTACTTAATCCAAATTTTGATTTAGCTTTTTACACTGACAGATACATAAGTTATATAAATGTAAAGTTTTGCTTGTGTGAAATATGTGTAAGGGATGGAACATATCAAGAAAAAGTCAGAACATAACAAAAAATTATAAACAATTAATAAGCAAGATTGAAGCAGTCTCTAAAGCAATATCTACCTGAATGTGGAGAGTTCCATTCACATACAAAATGGGAAATAAATCACTTTTTTTTTAACAACAACACAAATAATGTCCAGAACTTATAATTAATATCAGTATATTTTTTTTCACAAAAAAAATATTATATTATATTCCCTTTGTATTCCAATAAGAAGCATGAAGGTGGTTATTATTAATGCTTACTTATTTCACAAGTGCACCTATTTATTGCAACACTGACCTTATTTCTGGGATCCTCTTGTTTAGTGTTGCCTCGGCCATACAGTGGAATAACCTTTTCTCTACTAATAGCTGCCTTGCATACTGGACAAACTTGTCTGCTTGGCCTCGTTTCCAGCCACTGGTGCAGGCATGGCCAACTAAAATTAATAAGATCACCCAATTTATACAGTACCTTTCAACTACTGATTGAATAAACATTAGGTCAGGAATTCATTATCATTTAGAAATAACAAATTGGGTTATGTATATCGTAGGCTTAATAATCTTAAAATAGTTACCAGAAGAGGTGTCCACACATACTGACGACTGCATCTCGTGCTGTGTCAAGACAGATGTTACATTCCAACATCCTCTCATCCCGTTTGTCCTCCTCTCCTCCAGCGTCGCCGCCGGGAGCGGAGGCGCTCGCCTTGGCCTCACTCGTTTCTGCCATTCTTTTATCCGATAAACAACACTTTTTTATATTACGTCACAAAAACATCTTTTACACTTTTTGCGAGCACTTCACTTCGTAACTTTAACTGTGATTTCAATAACTTGTCACTTGAGAATTACTTGTTAATCAAATAATTTAGAACTTTCAAAAGACAGATATATTAATAACTAAGTGGTATTAATGTAGTAAAATATATTCACAATGAATGTCTCCAAACTCAGATTGCTATTTTAATTGTGATTTGTGATTAAAATTGTGTGACCTGTCAATTTCATTTGGTTACCATAAAGTAGACGTTATTATCAAATTATCATTATAGCCACGTAATGTTATGTAGAGTGCAGACTATGAGGATCAGAGTCTATGTCACAATTATTAAAACAAAAGATTATTACAGTAACAACTAATAACATATTATTTAAGTAGTTTATTATTAACTTCTAGTTTTTTTCAAACATTCCATATTCTTGTCTCTGGGTTTTTATCGATAGGTTTATCATACATGTTGGACATATTCTTAGCTCTTTGATATCGCTGTTACCAAGCGATTTTCGATTATAGCTATAACAGATATAAAGAGGTTCCAGAAATGTGAATATAACTTATAAGTATAGTTCTGAATATTGAAACGTGTTCGATTAACTAGTATCATTGTTAAATGAGTTGTAGATTGTACAGTTTGATATTTAGTTCATAGGCATAATATTTTAGTTTTAAAAATGGTGACTGCTGATATGCAATGTTGAAAAACAACTGTGACGTCATGAAATCTATTTGTTAAGATCAGTGTTATATAGCTGTTAGGTCTGTTGCAAAGAAATCGAACAATATGGGTGGTGCAGTTAGCTCCGGACGAGATAACAATGAACTTATAGATAACTTAATGAGCGGTAACTACATCCGCACCAGGCAAATAGAGATGGTGTTTCGAGCTCTGGACAGGGCCGACTACATGACACCAGAGGCTCGGGATCAAGCCTATAAGGATTTAGCTTGGAAAAATGGGCCCTTGCATCTATCTTCGCCTTGTATTTATAGGTATGTTCACGTTGTTTTTCCTGTTTTAAAGCATTCCGTTATAGAATTAAGAATCATATTGCCAATTTGTTGTTGAGTTTTGTAACTTTTCTCTTTTATTTATATTTCTCTTTATATGAATGTCATAATATCTTCAAGTTATAACTTTTACTTCAATGTCTGGATAACCAGCTTATGTGTTTAAAGACCATCAAGTATCACTTTCTTGATTTTTTTGGACCCAGGGGCTATCCAGGGGACTGACCCCACACTTAGACTTGGAATATCGTAATTCTATATCTGAGTGAATTCCATTACCCAATAGTGAGGTGATGGAGGGGTTAGAGCTGAGACCGGGCCTGTCCTTCTTGAACATTGGTTCGGGGACAGGCTACCTCAGTAGCTTGGTGGGCTTGATCCTCGGCACGTCGGGGATCAGTCACGGAGTGGAGGTCCATCCCGCTGTAGTGGAGTACGCCACCAAGAAGATATCACAGTTCATTGAAAACTCACCGACCTTGGACGAGTTTGATTTTTGTGAGCCCAAATATTACCATGGTAAATACATGTCTTTTTAATTATTTAAAATGTTTTATTATATATTTAAATTTACTTGTATTGAATAGTTTAACTTTTAACATCATATATGTTTTAGCTACAGGAGTTTGTATATTCTAGGTAACGGTCTGTGTTTGAGCCCTCCTGCTGTTGGATATGATCGTGTGTACTGCGGTGCCGCCTGTCCTGATCAGTATGAGATGTACTTTAAACAACTGATAAAGGTTTGAATTGCTAAGCAAACATTATAAACACTCACACACGATAAATGAAATATCAGTTTGAATCAGTAGTTAGTCAGTTTGATTTAATAGTGTAGAGAAGACACTAGAATAAATAGTCCAGTTAGAAAATAGTTTATTCCTTTATTTTCATATGACTGTGTATGCAGGTCGGTGGTCTGCTGGTGATGCCACTCAACGACACTCTAGTCCAGGTGCGACGAGTGGGAGAGAACGAGTGGGTGTCACGCTGTTTGCTCAACGTGTCCTTCGCCACACTGAGGGTACCCACCGCCGAGGAAGCCACCCAGCTCGTCAAACTAGGTATGACAGAAACCAGGCTGGGTCACTGATGAAATGGAACATCATAGAATATATCTCATGGTAACTGTCCTATGTGCAGACGAGTTGCGGCCGGTGCGCCTGCAGCTGCTGTCCCGCGCGGTGATCCGGTCCGCGATGCGTGGCGGAGTGCTGCGGCGACACCCCGAGCTCCGTCTGTCCCCGCGGCCCCCCCCGCCCTCCGCCTGTCCACGTCGCATCTGCATACCAATAGAGCCCGGCGGCTCCGTCGGTCAGTATCGGGTGTACTTACCCTCACAAGTAGCGTTGCCAGGTGTCCGGATAAAGCCGGACATAATTTGCAAGCTTTGATTGCATGTCCGGCCAAAATAAACGGTGTCCGTGTTGTCCGTCTTTTGTTAGGCTTTTTACATTTCGGTTTTTACATGAATGACTTGAAAAGATGTTCCTGAAGTGAATAAAGTTTCCGATACTATAAGTATCCTATCGTAAAACAACGTTAAAATCGACGATAGCAAATTTTATGACCCACTGCAAAATCTTAAAAGTCTTCTGAATACTAACAAAGAGAACGTTGATTTCAGGAAGATATTAACACATAAGAAACGGGTAGCCTATTTTAAATCGATGATAAGTCAAGATTGCTTTTCAGAATTCGTAACTATCTGTCAGTATTACTTTGCTATCCCAGGACATAGCGCAAACATTGAAAGAGTTTTTTCCTTGATAGGTCAGCAATGGGCAAAAGAACGTAACAGATTAGGTACATGTTTATACTGTTGCCAAAATGTTGGTTATAGAATTTAATTTAAAACAATTGACATGTAAGGATTTTAACAACTACATGTTGAAAGAAACTAAGCTCTTAAAGCAGGTTTCGACAAACCAAAAATATTAATAATTATTTTTATTGTGTAACTCAAAGAGAAAATGTTTTTGTTTGTTTTATATTTTAACTTAATAGAAGTTATTGATTTTTTTTAGTTAAAAAAGTATAATTTGTGCCTTTCTTATTATTTAAGAAAAATTCAAATATGTTAATCAATGTTTAAGTATCTAGAATTTAATTTTGACTGATCACTATTTGACTGATTTCCATTCGATTTTATTTATTATTTCACTAGAAATTAATAAGATTTATGATAATAGTCAAAAAGACTTGATTTCACACAAAAAAATAATAATTTTGTACCTATTAATACTAGGACAAAATCCTCAATAATATAGTGTCCGGCTTTTTTAACCAAATGTCCGGCCAAACTGGCTTGTCTGTTCGGCTATTAGGTCTGGCGACCTGGCAACGCTACTCACAAGTCACATAAAACATATCTCCCTTTAATAATACACGGTATTTTGCACAGAGGGCCTGAACGTGCTTCACGACTTGGACAACGAGAGCGGAGCGAACGAGATGAACGCCCTGCTGAGTCTCGTGATCAGTATGGGACAGAACAGAGTGGCCGGGGCGCTGAGGTTCGACCGCGTGGACTCCGGGACCGACGACGAACACGACGAGGACGACCACGACGGAGACGAGCCCGAGAACAACCACGACGAGACCTCGGGAGACGCGGAGGAGGCTCCGGAGAACGAGCAGGACCAGCCGAGTAACGTGGACCTGCCCGCCTCGGACTCCGACGACAAACCCGACATGAACGGAGACACCAGCGACCTCGACGACTCCCCGCCGAGACCGCGCAGGCCCACCAAGAGATCGGACACTAGGCAGAGAGACAGCCACAGTCTGCGGCGCCGGCCGAGGCAGGGCTCGGACTCCAAGGACGACTCCCCGCCCGACGACGGCGTGCGGGATGTTCTACGAAAGAGACGAGACGCTAAACCCTCCACCTCACAGGGGCTGGGCTCCATGGCCGACGTGCTCAAGAATACAGAGGAGATGACCAAGAAGGAGACCGTCCTCGACCACCAGAAGACGGTGAGCTCTACACATGGCGCGACCATAGAGATAGGAAATGTAGGCTTAAAGAATTTATTCTCAAAAAGACATAGTCACTTTAATGAGAACATACATACAAAAGTGAAAATACAAAAGTAGTCACCAGATTATTTGGAACTCAATTAAAGATAGTAAGATATTATTACAAGTGTATAACTTTGTTGGTATATCAATTATATTCTAAAATATGTTGTGAAAGTTGAGATTTAAATTCGTTAATTGAGCTTGCATTTCTTATAGTAGACTGTAATTTGTTGTAAAGTTGTGCTCCGTCAAATGTAATGTCATTTTTTGCAAATTTTATCCTAGTCTTTGGGAAAACTAGTAAGCTAGGTCGACGGGTGCTACACGTACTGACTGAGTGTACAGATTTATTAATAATTATTCTTATTGGAATGCAGGAATTATATACATAAAGTTGTTTTAAATTCATAATCTTCGTTTGTAAAATGTAAGAATGGTTATAAGATATACTGTTACAGGACACCGTGACCGGGCCCAGGAGGGACCTCCCGGGCGTACCCTCGGTGGTGGAGATCGACCTGGGGGAGACCTCGGACATGGAGTGGGACTCGGAGACGGGCGAGCTGGACGCGACCCCGGAGAGGCTGGGCAGGCTGGAGCACAGCGACGACGACACGCTCAAGAACAAGCCCAAGAGACAGAAGCTGGACAGCGGGCTCGGAGACACGCCCAGCAGCTCCTCGCCCGACAAGAACAAGAGCGATGGCTCAGAGCGCTCCGACAGCCCCGTCGCTGGAGGTACGGCTCATACACTGTACTAGCACACAGGCGGGCCTCAATGAACCCGCCCCCCTCTTAACCAAGTACCCCTTGACGGGTTGTTCTTAAATGTATCATAATATGGACCTGGTGAGACTCCGCGGCTCGACACAGGCCTCCTCCCGACCAGTGCCATGATGCCCGGCCTTTAAGCTTCAAAATCACCAAGATTTTGTCACATTTCTTTAGAAGATTTATATATAATTTTTAACACAGATAGTCCAATAAAAATAGACATATGACTAAGGAAAAAATCGCATAGAGCTGAAAATTGCCACAGACGTTAAATACATAATTATAAATGAAATATGCAAAATCCCCTTCGATACTACTTCTGCAAAAAAAATTATTCATGGTCAAAAGTATAAAATTAAGGTTTTTTACATTTTTCTCGAAAACAGTAAGTATTATCGTAAAAATAGGTCGGACAAAAGTTGTAGATCATACAATTCTCTACAAAAATGGTCGATTCTTTTTTTTTTCTTACGACTCACCATTCGTGAGTTAATGCGGTTTTAATCATTAGAAAATTCTTATTTTACATAATAGGACACATTTCCCCACCACCTATGAGGTAATGTACTTGGCGCATTTTTTTTAACGTGGTTTCCCCAGTAGGTATGCTCCACGATCTATTGTAATAAAGAAAGTTTGGTCAGATCGTATCCTATTAATTGAAAGAAAAGTAATATTGCTAATGGTTAAAGTGGAATAGGTTGTTTCTTTCTACATGTCATCATTATATAAGATAATTAATAAGATAATTGTCTATTTCTACTTCAACAATTATTTCTTCGTCTTCATTCTCTTCTTGCAGAATTTCTGTTCGCTGTTCTAGGAAAAGGGATCTATCAATTGTCTCTTCATTAATATCATAAATATCTTCATGTGTTGTATTTGTTTCAATATTGGAGCAAGTCTGACCCTGACAATTGATGCATACTGGCGAACAAAATAATCCTACTTTTTGACAACCACAATTCTTACTACAATCCGTCTTGCATTTACAAAAAATAGTATTAAGTAGTTTTTCTGGAGCAGGCGGGAGTAAAGTTTGAATTGGCTCCAAATAATTGTCTGTTAAGTTCCAACCCCATTCTTCTGGGTCCAGCTAATGAGCTAGGCAATGGCCTAGCCACACTTGAACTTGATAATACACACGATACAAGTGTTGAAAGGCAGATGCAGATGTTGGAGGCAGACGAGACAACTGTACTGTTTTATTGTTCCATGCAGATTTTACAAACTTCAAATATCTATATTTGTCTATGGAATCATTTTTTTTGGAGCACCGTACATTGCAAGATAAAACAAATTCCATTTGTAACGATGTCGTGTGGAGAAGAGTCAATCTTTGTTAATACTTCTGCGCAATGAATTAAATCATTACGTTTTTCAAACAATTTAAATACTGATGTTTTACCTCTTTTAAAAAGGCTGATGTAGTATCGCAACCAGTTATTGCATGTTAAAATAAAATATGAGCTTGACATTTCGGATATGCAGTCAGACTTTGTGATGAATATATTGTTGATTGTACTTGAGCTTTCCCAGGTTCTAAAAAGTAAATAATTTTATCATTTGGAGTTCGTGCAGTCAGTAATATCAACAAATCAACATCTTTCCCAACAACGACGAAGGGAATTAGGGACTGACAGTATAGTCTTATATTTTAAAATCCTCATCTAATTTATACAAGTTTTATTGTGTAAGGAACACAAACGAATAGTTTCTTATTTTCATTTATATTAAACGTCCGGTGACGTATACAAGCTTCATTTTAGTGCATATTATGTAAAATATGAATTTTCTAATGATTAAAACCACGATATCTCATGAATGGTGAGTCTTAAAAGAAAAAATGACTAGACCATTTTTGTAGCGAATTGTATGATCTACAACTTTTGTCCGACCTATTTTTACGATAATACTTACTGTTTTCGAGAAAAATGGAAAAAACCTTAATTTTATACTTTTGACCTTGAATAAAGTAGAGTTTTTTGTAGAAGTGAGATCGTAGGGGAATTTGATATTTTATTTATAATGAATGATGTATTTAACGTCTGATCATGATTTATTTTTGTCTATTTTGACTGGACTAAGATAATATTGTGACTAAACTATGATAGACATGCTCTCGCTGACCTACAAATATTAAGTTTTTATTTTTCCACCTTGGATTACAAAGTAACAATTTTCTTGCGTATCTCTAATATATTTTGAAAATAAAATATAGCCTTTAGTGTTCTTCGGTAAATGAATTATCAAACACTAAAAGAATTTTTCCATTCAAATTAGTTGTTTCCAAGATTAGTGATTCCAAAAAAACAAACTGCAACTTTATACCAATAGTATAGATATACATATTAAATGGGCATGTAATCTTTACATGTCCGTCTGTAACACTACGAAGTGTCCATCTCCGTCCAGACTCCAGAGTACTAATAGTAACTCTATGTTCAGGGAGCAGCGTGGTGGACAGCCGCAGCTGGTCCCCGGGGCCCGAGGAGCGCGCACACACGGAGCGCCGCAGACAGCGTGAGGCCCGCGGCGGGGACGCGCGCCGCGTGCGCCTCTCGCTGCTCATGAAGCAGGCCGTGCGCGAGCTGCCGCTGCCGCACGCGCTCAAGAAGTACACCCCCAGTCCTTACACACACACACACACACACACACACACACACACACACACACACCAAGACACTGTGCTCTATCGTATATATGTTTCTAGTCCAGTACAAAGCTCCATCCTCTCGTGATGTCGAGAGGAGCACGCTAATGAGACGTTTAATGTAATGTTATCAGATCCCCTACAGGAGGCAATTTTTTCTATAGTCATATGAATTTTAAATTTATATATGTATCATTAAAATGAAACTAATATTTTGCGGATATACTTTACAACAACCGAAACGTCGGGAGTATGGAATTTTTATCAAAAATGAATTCGCGTAGTATATCCGCAAAATATTAGTTTCATTTCAATGAATATGACACTTGAAAATCACAGATCTCGTTTTTATATATCATTAGTAATCTCTTCAAAACAAAAAGCTGAACTATTTTTTCCAGTAGAGAGACAGATATATCTGACATTTTATACATTAGTCCTATGCATGTCCTAGTATCCAGTTCCGCTGACACCGATCTCTTCGCTTCCAGGTACGTGAACCTGGGACGGTGCTTCGAGTTCTAAGAAGAGCCGCGGACTGACACTTGTATCATTATAATTTATATCGAGAGGAAGAAATATATGGGAGTCATCGAAGTCTGAACCTAACGTTGATACTGAACATCGCGACTGACCGCTGGTGTGACGTCACTCGCCACACACACTATTATGAACACAAACAAAAATACAATTTTTACTGTCTTTTGTGTCACGTGCTCCGGCCTCCGGGGCAGTAGAACTAAGACTAAGACTGTAGGGATATTAGAACTAAGTATGAGATAGGACTTCGATGTATTTCATTCAAATAGTCGACTGTATGAAGCTAGTTTTAAATAATCATTATTACATATATTTTAAATTGGGTCTGAAAATATATAAGTGGAGTGTGAGGCGAGGGAGCTTCGAGAGGAACGCCAAATAACGTTAATATATGTAAGAGTTAGAGAGTATGGCACTGTACATGATTCATTATAGTCGATTATAATAGAGCGGCGCTCGACACGCGCTCGACCTGGAGCCAGCTGAACACCTTGTAACATGTGTGACGGAATGTTGAAATGTTTTGTTGTAAATATGAGCGTCGTTATTTGTTTTGTTACATTAATATTGATCGACTCGTCCGCCGCGTGCGGGCGGTCCGTAGTCAGCGCCGAGGACGCCTCGCCGTTATGATTAATATTTGGAATAAAAAAGTTATCTCATAGAAATGTTTTTTATTTTATCAATAAATATATAAATCACGAGTGAGTATTCAGCGGTGGGTGCATTTAACTAATATGTACACGGTATATACACGGCTCAAGGCTTGCCTCGTGTCAGTCACCACTTGTCCGAGTACAGCCTGTCGGCGGGCGGGGCGGGCCCGGGGCGTCGTGCAGGTCTCGGCGTGGCCCGCGGGTCCCGCAGCCGCTCCCTGGCGGGCTTGTCCCCGGCGTGCGAGCGCTTCACGGGCCTCTTGCAGTGTGACGCGGCGTCTCCGTTCTGCGCCTCGGACGGCGGCCTGCTCGCCTCGGACTCGCTGCCGTTGACTAGCGAGTGTGCGCTTTTCGCCTTGTGTAGTGACAGCCTCAGCGGCTTCCTGGGGGGCATGGGTCTGGACTTGCCGTCTTCCCGGAGGTCATCGACCTTGAGGTAGCGACTAGTCCTGGAAGTGTTCTCGTCGTAGTCGGTGGCGGCCAGCCGCGGCGAGCTGCTGTACAGGTCCCCGCTCGGGTAGTCGGAGCACTCGGACTCGAACTCCGACGACTTGGCGCTCCGGGCCTGCCCCCTGGCCGTCCTCCGGCTGGACTTGTGCGCGTTCTCCAGCACCTTCCCGTCTATCCTGCTGTAGGAGTGATGCCGCTCCTTCTCCAGCTGGATGTTCTCGGAACTTTCGTTCTTCTTCATCTTGCGCATCCTCTGTGATCTCTTCAGCTGCTCTATGATGGACAGCGTCTTCCTCTCGGCCCAGTTCGTCTTCTTGATGCTCTGTTCTATTCTCTCCGCCGCCTTCTTTATGTCGTTCCTGGCGCTCTCCTTCCCCTGACCGTCCAAGTCACTGTCGGATCTCATCCGGTCCTCCCGTTTCGTTCTGTTGTATTTCTCGGTGTCGATCCTCTGCCTCTCCATGTGTCTCTGGTTCCTCTCTATCATTCTGATGGCGGCGTCGGTCTCCGCGCTGTAGTCGTGGATGCAGTGATGTGAGAGTGAGTGTCTCAGGCGGCCCGCGCGGTGCTCCAGGCTGTGTGAGCTGTGGGAGCGCCTGTTGGGGGCCGGGGAGGTGCGGGGAGAGGTCGCCAGCCTGGAGGAGGCTCCCGACGCGTTAGACCTCGGCCGCACCACCGGCAGATTGCTCGCCTCGGCCCCGTCCAGTCCTGGTAACTTGGCAACTATGGCCGTGATGTCTGGTCCCTTCTGGAACACCTGCACCTCAGACTTTGGAGTAGTTTTGGTCGCCGGCTCCGAGGTGATGTTGATGTTGGTAACGTTTCTCTTCGTTTTGTTGACAGTGATACAGCTGTCGTTACTGCTTACTGGTTGGAGCTGTAATCAAGTTACAAAATAACAATGAGTTTTTTTTATGGTTCTCCAACAATGTGTACACAAAATATATACAATTTTCAATCTTAAAACTTAGTGTCACAATTATTTACAGGAGAACACAGCATGAACGAATTATTTAGCCGAACAAAATTTTATTATTTATGATATAAATATATTATACGAAATATATGGTATATAAAACAATGAAACAAGATCAAAGTGAAATAAGCAAACAAAAAACAAAAAAAGAGTGTAAACAAAATGAATTGGTAATTTTTATTTTAGTACTATATTTTTTACTGATTTTATGGATGTAGTAGTTAAATCAATACTATTTTAGTACTCAGAAAATACATTATACATTCTTGATAGAGGACTGTACAATTTAAGGTTAGTATAATGTCTAGCCTGACAGAACAGATGTAGATTACATGACCTTGGCAGTCTGGAAGGAATACGAAAATTAATTTTTTAATAGATTGGGATCATTTAAAGATCCCGTAACAATTTTGGTAAGAAATGTTAAATCCAAAAATTTTCTGCGATTAGACATTGTCGCAAAATTGAAATAACTAAGACGACCCTGATAGGAAGTAAGTTTTCTTTTTAGATTACAACTATACGTTAAATGCCTCATAAATTTCTTTTGTAGTTTTTCAATTCTGTCAACGTAGTATTTATAATGAGGAGACCAAACTACAGATTCATATTCTAGATGACTCCGTACCAAAGAATTATACATAATTATTTTAGTAAATGGTACCTTAAAATTTTTACCTTCTCTTATTAAAAATCCTAAATTTTTTGTTGATTTTAAAATTATTGTATCTATGTGTTTATCAAATTTAAGTTTTTGAAGTTTCGACTTGTTAATTTATATTAAAAGAAGTTTCATTGCACTTTTATGATATAAAACGCGTTTTTCTTCAATAAATAGTATTATTAAGTATGTGTTCGAGCCAGCTGACCTGCGGGTGTCTCGCCAGCAGCTCGGCGACCTGTTCCTCTAGGTATGAGATGCGGTGTGTGAGCCTGGTGTTGTCCTGCCTCAGTCCCTGTTTGGTTCTCTCCGCGTGTTCGGCCGCCGCCTGCAGCGCGCCCAGCTCCGAGCGCAGAGATGCCGCCTCGCTCTGTACACACACATTGATATGACACCTTACTTGTGATGTACAAGATCCGTGGAAGTACAAACTTGGACATTATACAAGATTTACAGATCAATAAATATTTAATGATTGATAACAGTTGTTTGACTCTCGCTGATAAGACTCGTTATGCTCTCCTTATACCTTGATACATACTATGGTCTATGACTGGGATTTTCAAACTTGTTTTGTCTACAGTCCACTTTGAGAATATATTTTTTTTCTTAAAGAAAAACCATTATAACCTAGCTAAATGAAAATACAAATCACCCTCCAGGCTTCTGCACAATGCTCCCTTTTTCCTGGGTCTCTTTTCGCTTCCATTTAGGTCTGCAGCGCCCAAAAGGGATCGTTATTGTACATTTTTGAAAGAGCTGGTCTATGGTGTGACATATATACCTGTGTGAGTGCGGGCGGCGGCGCTCGTAGCACCACGAGTCTTGCAGGCGAGGCTGCGTTCAGAGCACGCCGGAGCTCCTCGGACCCGCACCTCAGAGTTGACGTGCCGTTTACTTCCAGAACTCTGGAAGACATGTTGATATATATTAAATTGTTCAACGAGTATCTTGAAAGCCATATTTGTTGAGACTTATAACGCTAATGAGTGGTGAATATTCATTCGTAAAAAGGAATTTAAAATCTTTATTTACAAATAAGCTTCTAATCTTCACAGAGGGATAAGCTTTATATGTATATATATATTATAGTGGAGTATCTTGTATCAAGAGCGAGTTGTGGACGTTAGTATCCTCGAAAACACCACCTGGTACATTAAATGCTGTTCGTTCCAACGTTGGATTTGCATCGGAATGTGTTTTACTTTAATTAATATTCCTTTTGATGTTGAGAGTTCTGCTTTTAGATTAAATCGTTTATTTTTACTTAATCTAAATATAAAACGCAATATGGACAATCTGTATATTTATATTACACGGACACATATATGACTTTGTGTTTTAATGAACACTGTAATAATCACAAAATGTGCACAATTTGTCAGATCAGAAATGAATATTGTAATAATCATAAAATGTGCACAATGTGTCAGAAGAGAGGTCATTCTGTCATTGTGTTAGTGTCAGCCAGGCGTCATAGATCTTCGCATGCGTGTGTGTGTGTGTGTGTGTGTGTGTGTATATGTGTGTGTGTGTGTATACCGGTCTCCCTGTTTGAGTGCGGGGTGGTCGCTCCAGTCCACAGCGACCGCGGCTCCCCTGATGGCGGCGCTCCACGTGTTGTCGCGGGCCTCCGCTGACACCAACACGGCGCTGCCGCCGCAGTCACGGACCGTGCTGTAAAGTGAGGACATATTAAAACATACTAGAAACGAACTGGGACGAGCTATATTCATTAGGGACTATTTATTTATTTATTTATTTTATTAGGAAGCCAACATAATGTACAATGATCTTACAAGGTACACTACAATTAAAGGCTAACTCAGCATGCATTCACAAAAAAAAAATATAAATAATATATATATAAATATATAATATAAATATATAATAATAAAGCGACGTATTAAATAATAAATAATATAAAATAAAGTAGATCTATTTTGTTAGAGGTATACGAGTATGGACTATTCTGCAGATATTATTTACAATAAGTATATTACATTGAAAGTTTAAAGTTATTTTTTATTTTTGTTTTATAGGATTTTAAACTATCATTATAAATATCAATACCCACTTTTTTAGAAATATTATTATAAATTCTAAAGGCCCTATTTAAAGGTGCCTTTACAAGCTATTTAAAAGACTATTATCGAACGTTATAATATAAAATACTAGAAGACCCGGCGAACTTCGTATCGCCCTATAATCAAGAAATATCTGACACATTTTTTTAAATTATATTTTTGGAGTTTACCTATTAAAGCCATAAATCTCCGTGTTTTGAAGTGCGACAGAATGATTGACATATTAGTTAGTTGTCAAATCTAATGTCAAAAAAACGTTTATATCAACAACTACTAATAAATTAAAAATTAATTAAAAAAACATTGTCCAGCGGACAAAATTGTGAATCTAGACCATTCCCAGATCGCCTTGAACACATACAAAAAATTTCGTCAAAATCGGTCCAGTCGTTTGCGAGAAGTTCAGTGACATAAACACTCACAGAAGAATTATATATATAAAGATAATCACAAAATATTTTTTGTTTCTAAATTCAGATTAATATTATGAACACAAAGGGCAAGTATCGCTATGAAATAAAACATTGTCATTTTTATTGGGGATAGATGAGAAATGACGACAGCTAAAAAAAATACAACAAAATCAATTTAATGAGACACCATAACATATACTTATGTATATAGAACATACTATTTAGCGCTACAAACCTATCTACCGTAGTTACGTTATACGAATCTCACTTCATCAGATTCATTTCACTAACTTTAAACCTGCTGGAAAAAAAACTTTTATGATCTCATAAAAAATTATAACAATTTATAGATGTGTTTGATAACGAGATTACTCTTAAAAACACACCGGTGTATAAGAGTACCTACAGTTACTACTTTAAAATATTTTTTTACTTTTTTCATATTTTTTAATAAGGTATCAGCGAGCAGATGATTTGGTATCAAAGTTCAAACAAAACACATAAATAACATCATATAATACGCCTTTCCTTTCATAATATTGTAAAAGAAAGCCTTATAGTTATTATTCATAATTATAAAATTGTTGAATACGTCCCACTACAATATAAGCTGCCATTCCAAGCCCGAGCTCCTCCGCTCCTGACGTTTATACCAGTCGATAGTTTACGCGGAGTCCGGGCTGAGAGACGCGAACACGTTCCCACTGTGAAATGCCACAGCGAGTACTTATTGTTGTTAGTTATAGGTTAGCGTGGCGCCCTAGGGCTCCACGGAGCACTGACCGGGGAGCGAGGCGCTGTCTTGTACGGTATGGAGATACTAGATGGTCTATAAAGTATCGAAAGCTGGTCACTGACCTCATGCACGAGGTGGAATACGCACAATAGATAAATACCATATACCAGCTTTAAGATTCGAGCTGAAACTACTAACTACTATCTACTACATACTAACAATTTAATGAGCATTGTTTTTGTACAATTACGATTGTAGAAACACAGCGGATACATTACTACTTCCTATTTATTATAAATGATAAGGTGAGTGTGTATACAGCTGTGGGAAACATCGATACAATAGAACCTCCTTGTTCTACACCACCGACTGTAGTAGTGGAAGGCTTAGTTTGATATTTACTGAATAACTTGCCTACAATTATTAAAACATTGAATCATCTTAAAATTAATATTTCATTTATTGTCTTTAAATAACTCCCATTAAAAATATTTTGTATGAAATGTAATAATATGTAACTTTAATACGGTAATTTATGAATAATAAATTCCTTATGCTAGCTACATATGTATTATGTTGATATTTGACATGGTTTCAAAGAAACTTAGTAGGTAGAACTTACATTAAAATAATCCCTTACATCTTATTATAAGTATTTAATATATAAAAAGTGTACATGTTTTTTAAAAAGTCTCGAGCATCAGTTTGACCGGGGTCACACTGTGTGTTACATAGTAGTCCATAGTAAATTACAGTTAAAATAGACTCTTCTCTCTGTTGTACATGTTTTATATAGATGTACCGATACAATAGTGTATCAAATTAGCGGCTGAAGTTTATTAATAACGTTGCGGGTGTTTATGAAGTGTTAAATGTGTGAATTAACAAAGAGTTATGAAGAAAGGTGTTCCCACGCTCACCGCGTGCGGCTGGCGTGAGCGCAGCGGAGCGCGCCAAAATTTAAGATCTACTTTTTGTACGACTTTGAAATTCAATGAGAAGCGACTGCTGAGTTTATTAGATTTATTAAAGAATCTGTTCCTACAAGTCATGACTTTTACTTTAACACAAATCACTTTATACGGATTGACCCGATGTATTATAATGAGATCTAAGACTTTCGCGAGTATTCATTTAAACGAAACCATTATTTGTCAGATTATTACGCGTATTTTTTTATTATAAAACTACAAACTCTCGACGTTTTGGTTACATTTCAGCAACCGTGGTCACGTGAATAATAAAATACGCTTAGTAATCATAATTGGTTACATTCTCATGTATTATTTTTAATTACGTCTCTCGTATTAGTGGTAAACTCATGTTCCGTCAGTTACAACTTCTCTTCATGTATATTATAGTGTAGCGAGTGCCTGCCGCGTGTAGTTGGCGCGTAATGTTGTCAGGACTCAACACTTAACGAGCGGATGTAGTCGCTGACATATTATATAAATTACTTACAGTTAGTAGGAATTATCATTAACGAGTGAAAAATATCTATGTAAATAGTTAAACAGATTTTCTTGAGACAAATATTTTTTGGAAAAATAATGTCTTCCTTTACAATAACAGCTTGGTTTTACAAAACTAAGATGTCTTGATAATAATACGTAAGTATGCGAACAATTCTTAATTTTTGTATACTTTTGTTTGCCTGGAGTGGTCTATGATATCACTGAATACAAAGTTTGTAAGATAGTAGAGGGTTTTATAAAAATGTACCAAATATGTAGAGTTATCAATTTATCGTCTTAAAAAAGTGGCATTTTTATCACACTATTGTGGATTCAAATCAAAATAATGGATATATTTTATAAAAAAAGAAAATATAACAATCATAGTGAATTATTTAAACTTCTTTAATTACACGGGATACATCAAAATGCAGCTATTGTTGTGTCGATCGTCTCGATGTATTGGAAGCGACTAATAAGGATTGCGCATTGAATTCACATTCTCACGAAATATACTGTCGATGCAATTTTAACTTTATTTGGTTAAATTTAAAATGTACAATAAATATAAATGGACAATACTCAAAAGCTACGAATAAAAACTTTTTGGATTACTAAACGAATACCTAGTTCAAGATGGCTAATGTCAAATAAACGATCCATCTGACATTAACTAAAAATTACATTGACATTTGACTTGTAGCTATACAATACCTATATTTGAATACTAAAACAAAGATAATGGCAAATGTTTAGCAGGTGAATGAAGAACAAACTTAAACATAGCATGCAATGCAACTATTTAGCGGCTCGTCTATGTACAAGACAATTGAACGAGCGGCGACTTCAAACAAACAGAGCGTGGGCTCCGAGTGAATTTGAGAATTGATTTGTTGTACAGGAATGTATAGACCACGCTAACTTGTTTGACCGTGTACCATTCACAGATTGATTTAAACGAAATCGTGGCTCAATAATAGCGATTTCAATAATAATATTTATTATACACATATATATTCTGTTGCTATAATAAAAAAGAGACGAAACCTCTTAGCATTCAATGGATTCACCGTTCGAGTGCTGGGTCTATCGCGTTGCAGGGAGAGGAGCTTCAACAGTGCCTGGGACTTGCGACCCAGGTGTAGGTTTAAGGGCCCCTTATCTAACGCGCGTTATACGCTCACCTCCACTGTCCAAGCTCCTCTCCCTACCTAACCAAATTTGAAAAGAACTTACTAGGGCTGCCTCTGAAGTACGTTCCAAGAATGATTGATATTAGTTCTGGACAGGCCCAAGTCATAGTCTCGATAATAGTAAAATAAATAAATGATTAAATTATATTGATTACTAGTATTTATTACACGTAGACTCCTTCACGTAACCTTCACAAATTACTATGACCAAACACAAATAATGTTTTTTCTTTGAGATTTGAGATGAAACTCTACGATCAAATATCACTTATTATTATGATGCAATTAAGTATTCACGTGTATTTTTTATTATTTGTCCTTAAAATGAGAAAAAGGACCATATTTGAAAATTACGATTTAAGAATTTGGTACGTAAACTCATCAAGGGTCGAGTACAGTCGTATATTCTTGAACACAATACAATAGTGTCCGTCGCATCTTAATGTTGCTGAACTTTCACTACTTTTCCTCTGATATATATTCTATAATATGTTTCACACACTAATGTGATAATTCACGAGCGAGTCATTAAGACAGCTCGATCCATTTTCACGAAGCTTTGAGACGTGGCTTTAAAAGAGTTTGAGTTTTAAATGTTTTGTATTAAATATGTTAGGGATCGTATAACGAAAATAACTACAGTTTGTTATAAACCAATTCTGACTGAATAATGAATATATAGGTTACTTTGAAACAATCGTCTTTACACGATACTATAATGTATTTAATATTTATATTATACAACAAAACATATAAATATAACCAATATTTCCAAAGAAAACTTTGTTATTTGAATGATTATTTTGTAACTTACTTTTCAAATCATATTGAGGAGATTTTTAAAACTAATAACTGTAAAATATATTAATCAGAAATATCAATAATTAGTTTTTTAATTAAGCTGTTGCAAATTAAAAGAAAAAACAATTTTTTTTTATTCCGATGTTAATGAACTTGATCTATCAAATATTCGTAAAACTAAACTATTAAAAGTTAATCGTGGGAACTAAACTCTTTGATTAGAGAGATAGCCAGACGATGTTTGTTAGTTAAATTGAATTAATTTATAATAAACTTTACAGTCTGTGTAATATAGTGTAGGAGGAAGTTAAATTAATATTAAATGTCATAGAATTATAGAAGTAGAATTTGTTATAACTGAGAGACGGTAACTTTAATGTACTCATGTGTGTGATTTAGTCGAGACATTAGTATTGTATCACAACTCATAGGTCGTAGAGGATGGCATTGTATAACACTAGCTCCGCAGCAGTTAAGTGTTCTGACACAATAGGTATTACGACACCAGCACTGCCGATATCTAAATTGCTTCACGCCATCTAACTTTCCACTATTGACGGATTAACCTACATTTTCGTCGCTGATTTTCCCAGTGATTATACGTGAATCAAAGAAAGCAGGAGACTCCGCCCCGCGCACAATGGCGGCGGGCGTGTTGTAACCACACTGACAATTATCTGTAATTTGTAACCCGCTATCACAGCATCTTTATGGCTTTTAGCGTATTTTAAACTCGCGGCACAATTTACACGACCCTCGTCGCTGATTATTCAATGTACACATGTAATTGAACACGCAAGATGAAGATCTTCAACCTGAATCTGCTGTTGAGGGATATTATTACTTAATTGACCTGACTCCTGAATATTCTGTTACGGAATTCTAAATTTATTTGGCGTGGTGGCCTCGAGATTAAAGGCCCGTCACTCGTTCATGAGGACGCGGGTTCGAAACCTAGCAAGTATCAATGTTATTTTGCGAGTCATATGTAGGTACTTTCTAAGATTATTTAGTCACCACTGAGAGTGAAGGAAAACATCGTGAGGAAACCTGGACTTATAATATATTACATTTATAAGTTTATATATCACAATTATAAGTTTGACATAGACAACTCTTCTTGAGCGAGCGTGGTGATTAATGCTCAAATATTTTCCACTTGAGAAAAGGCCTTTGCTCAGCAGTGGGCTCTGGACTGATGATGATGATTATGATGATGAAATTTATTTGTAGCGATAAAAGTCAGCACTCAGTAGTTCTGTATTACAATAATTATCCTCACCTGTAGAGCGTGGAGCGTCGTGCTCTCGCCGCGGCGTCCGCCTGTTCCATGAGCAGCGCCAGGGCCCGCGCCTGCTCCCCCAAGCTCAGCAGCTCCAGCTCCTCGCGGCCCAGCTGGTACTGCAGCTCCGCCTGCTCGATACGACTGTCTATGTTCCTGACAAACGTTTACATTAACACAATGAAACCATAAAAACTATGAAAGATACGTATGTAATTGGAATGACAATGGTTGAATCCATTATAAATTCAATGTTCTCTTCTTATTTTACTCTGAATATGGAATTGTACAACATTCTTACTCTGTGACGTGTGTTTTTTCTAATCTCCTCTTCAGTTCCTGTATGTTAGCCCGCCTCACGTCCAGGTCAGAGCGCACGGCGGCGGCTCTCTCCTCCAAGGCTCGTCTCTCCTCGGCGGACAGGACAGGCGCCTCCTCCCGCCCGGAGTACGGGACCGGAGACGACGCCTGCGCCCCCAGGCGAGCGGCGCTCAGTGAGGCGCTCAACTGTTTCTTTAAACTAAATAGAAATATTACTTGTAGATACTGTGGTACTGGATGCTAGAACTGGGAGTCTGATTGTATTGTGAAAGGCGGCTACATCCCTCAGTATGCTGGTTGCAGAAAATAGGTGTGACGTTTCGTAACTGTTCAGAGTTGTATCACTCAGTTATTATTCAGATAACGAAACTGAATGAGATTTAAGATTTTCGCTAGTTTAAAGTGACAGTTAGCTAGTCATAAATAACAAGAACAATTGACAATCATTCACATCTCGTCTGCCCGTGATCACGTTGCTGAAAAGAAGCCGAAGTCGGGCGTATTTAGTTTTTTTACAAAAATACGTCGCGTAGTATAATCCGAAAAATATTAGTTTCATTTAAACTGGCTATATTTATTGTGATAGTAATAGTTACACTAACTTCTGTATGAGGGTGTCCTTGTCGTTAATCGCTGCTCGTAGCGCGTCCAGCTCGCGCGTGTTGTCTCGTGCGGGGTCACGAGCCCCTGCACTGCGGCGCCGCGACCCCGCCAGGGAAACCTCGATACTGGCCATCTAAATGTTATTTAAATGATATATAAAAAAATTCTTTCGTAATGTGACTAATAGGAACAATTCCTTTTTGATTTTACTTGAAAAATTTGATCCATGAAGCGTTATCACCTTTGGCATTATGACGACACAAAAGGAATAGAATGATAAAGTTATTTTCGTTTTCCTCACACAACTTCAAACTTTTTTTCTGAAGATCTAAAATACATTCCCTTCCCCCTGTGCTAGTTTTCACCTGACATACGATGTATGAAATAAAGCTGTATTAAAGTGTCTTATTAATATATTTTTGTGTCTTCTTATAAATTAATATATTTTATTCATACACATATTTTACACCTAATGAAGTCTTCATTTGACCGTGCCTTAAAAATTCAACTACGCCTCTTATGCCTTATGGCTATTATAAAAATAAAAAACCTTACCGCAAGGAGCTGCTTAAGAGTTGTATTTCTTGAAACGAAGAAAGAAGTTTAAGATTTCGATGGCATATTAATAAGCCCTGATGGGTGTGTCATGAAATGAAGCGCTCTTTTTTTATTGGTTTGAGTGGTTATCCTAATTATAAAAATTGTTCCTTTAAAGGGTGTGCAAAATATTCCGTGAATCAAATCGTCCTCAAGTTCCTCCTATGGAATTCATTATTTTTTGGACCCTGTCTAATAATGTGTCAGCTGATCATCATTAATGAACGCTAATTCCTCCCATACCTCCTTTTACGTGAGTCTGCATCAGAGACACTTAACATGTTTTTCGCCATGTCGATGCTATATTTCCGTCACTTTATAATGAGAAGTTTATTCCAAAAACATTGAATTCTTTATAAACTTATTTGGTTATTAACAAAAACTTATATTAAAGAACTTCAGGTCCTCTGGGAAAAACTCTCAATGAACATAAGTTATTTTATATTAAGTCGTGTTCTTCACGGTGTATCTATTATCTTCTATCATCAATCAGGGTTGTGGAGGAGGTTTATCAAGTTTATTTTGATCGACGATTCATTGATTATTATTGAAGGTGACAAATTATTTAATAACTACCTCGGCAGAGCGGTTGGCCTACGTTGATTACACATTACACTATCCCTTGAGAACATTTCTTCTCTTAATACTTGCGTCTCGCCGTCTCTTGACCTTTAGTAAAATCATAAATATTTTACATGTAACAATATTGTATTTTTCAAATAAGGTTACTGCATATTCTTTGGAAGTTATGTTGAAGTTTACCTCTTTTCAGTTCGTTAAGTTATTGTTTGTTAAGGTTTAATAATATCCTGTTGTATAATAATCAATCACCAAGTATTAATTATTACTTTCAATATAATTTGTATTGCTTTCTCTAACGTGATCTTAAGAAATTAATCTCCAGCATCACAATATTACAGATAAAAGTAAAAGTATTATTTTTTATAGCTCATGTTGTAAGTTACATTTCTTTTACATAAACTAAAAAAATTAGAAGAACCAAGCAATATAGTTAAATAGAAATTTAGGTACACCTACATACACATACCATAAAGTAGGTACATAGATAAAGGGGGCAAGGTTAAAAACATAACTAATCTTTTTACTTCCTCGCAGTTGGTTAGAAATATAAAATAGATTGTTTGTTAGAAATAATATAGTCGTATTACTGTATGTGTGTACGTCATTACACGTAATAATAATGTTATGGTAATAACAACATAATTCTTAAGTATCTCGTTGAATGCAATAATTCACGTTTTAATTCCGTTCTCAAATTACAAAATTACAGAGATGAATACAGAAGGCGCATATAAATTGGCATTTAGTGAACACAGACGGACCACGGTCGTAATGACTGTACATATACATGCAGACTCGTAACATAACTAATATTATAACGAATGACTTCAAAGAAACTTATTGACTTTCATTTCGTTTCAAATTAAAGAAGTCTCAGCCGTGAGGTACGCTTCAAGAGTCTTGTAACACAGTATTGTTAAGCATAACTCTTATTATTTATTAGTATATAAACTAAAAGTATATAAGAAGTATACAATATATATGTATGAGAGAAAGTCAGTTCTGGATTCACCGATTGGAACAGAACGCGGTATTTTTATGACACATAAATATACAAAAATGATTTGATTATTAAGGAAGTCAGTGGTCGCTGGCCCTCATACGCTTCGTTCCACTCGGCGGCTCCTGAACGTACAACCTTACCTTGGCATACGTTGATATCATACAAATAACTCGAAAAACAAAAATATTATAATATTATTGATTTAAATATTATTTAAATAATTATTTTCTAAATCACATGTTGATGGACGTAATGATTTATTAAACGTGTTCCATTTAGGGATATTAAGATAATTTTTATATATATTTGTTAATGTGAATATTATTCAAGATCTCTCTCGTAACTGTCTCGTGTTAAATATATTAATGACTAGCTCTTACCCGTGACTTCGTCTGTGTAAAAAAAAGAGAAAATAATCAATGAAAAACCTTAAAAATCCCACTCGCGCGTGATAATACTTAATTTCGGGATCGGGATAAAAAGTAGCCTAAGTTACTCCTTCTTATATCGGCTACCTGGCCGTAAAAGTCCCGTCACAATCGGTCCAGACATTTCAGAGATTAGCCGGAACAAAACAGCCAGATAGACAACAATTGTAAAAAATGTTATTTTGGTGTACGTACCGTATACGTATTCATATGCATATAGTAAAAACGGTAATTTAAATATTACAAACAGATACTACAAATTATTTATTTGTATATATTTAAATGTTTTGGTGGAATCTTGTTATTATAATGTGTCTGTGTTGATATCGGATGCATTCTCCGGGGCCCGTTAAAGACGCTACCGGCGGCTAGTCTGCTCCGGGTATATTTACATCGCCTTTAAGATCCCCGATTACTACGAATTCTCCGCGTCTCTGGAAACTGACTCAATACGAGAAATGTTAAAGTACTAGCTCACCATTAAATAGAATATAGTTAGTTACCGTTAAAAGTTACGAAGTTTTTAGAGGTCCTATGTTAGAATTAGCATTAAGTTATACGAACAGTTCAGAGGCGGCGGAACTGGTTTGGATGTAAGCTTTTGAATAATGTTTTATCATCAGCGTGAAGCGAGATGTTTGTTGTCAGTGTACGTGCCGGGAATCTTACGTCTCTTGTATACAAAATAAATATAATAAATACCAACTGTACCTTAGAACGCATCCTTTTAATGCACCTTATAAAACCTCACATGTATGGCATTATAAATTTGCGTTTATTTACGTGCTAAAAGTTTATTTGAACCGGCCGTCAACTGAACTTCTCTCGTGTAATCAGTGCTTTATGTAATTCCTCTCTTATTCTGGTGTAATATTTTGCTTTAATGCTAAACATATCAGGGAGTGTTTTGTTTTAGTATAAATATATATCGAAGCCTCTCGCTTCCTACAGATCCAGAATTTGATAAATGTCTTATGTCTTAGGAGCCCTTGTTCCCACCAATTCTTTCATTAGACTCTTACAATTATTCATATTCAATCTCTTATCTCAGTAATTTATCTCCACACGGTGCATCAACGACACACGTCCTGTATGCGTGTAACTTCACGTATTAAACATAAAAAGGTAACTATTATATCATTAGTTGCGAACGCCCAGACTCATTATACAATTAAAAAAGGATACTGTCTTGTAACACGCTACAATAAAATATGTTCTCGACTTCAGGCTCGTCTCGATCATGTTCATTATGAGACTAAAAATGTTTTAATATGCGTGTTAATTAAAAAGTTATTTTGTTAAATGCTATAAATATTCTCCGTGAAAGTTTCCAGAACCTTCTCTTTCCAATATATATATAGTTACATTTATCTCCCGCGTCAAAAAACTTATCCTGATTAATGTCCAATTACTCCCGCGTCTAAATGATATATAACGAGTCATAAATGATCTATCAGCTGGGGTCGGAGACAGGGTGAAGAAACACACGCATTACTTACCTCATGTAAACAAACTATCATTACTAGAAGTTAGAGTATGTGTATGAATTAAATATATTGCAGAAAATATTCCTCTCTGCAAACAGAGGTGAGGAAATTGATAAGGAGTGTGTTTGGATAAATAATAATGAATGAGATGCTCACACGGAGATGTTCGCATGAAATATTGATTAATAATGGTTGTGAGTATCGTTGTTATATGGATAGTTGGCGAACATTGAACAATCGAGGTGCACTGACCTTAGCCTCCAGGTTTTCAAGGTTGATGGCCCCTCCAGCCTCGAGGGTTTGCTGCAACAAACGGACCAGCTTAACTTATGATAATAAGACACAAACAACTCCAGACGGAGCCTTCACCCGCTCCGAGGACGCCCTGTCGACGCTCTCCAATATTGTTATTTATGCAAAGCATCTGAATCACATTACACTCACCGTGATAAAAGCTTTTATTAATTCGTTAAGTGACCTTCTGTATAATTGACAATTCTACATAAAAGTATATTAAAATGAATGAGAAGGGAAACATTCTTTGTAATTAATAGATCCAGTTCACATTACTTTATATATTTCTTTATATTCAGTGAGTTTTAATGTAGTCTAAGTTAACGGAGCGTTTCGCTTGTTGGGTTCTATCCGGCCGTGGTGCTCGGCATCCTACATAGAACATATACCTTATTATATGAACATGTGACAAATGAACAACGGACTACATATATACGTAATAACTGTATACTGTATATGAATGACATAATGACATATTGTATAGAAATGACATACTAGATATAGATGACACTGTATATAGATGACATACTGTATACAGGGTGACTGGTGAATTACTATCAATATTTAAGGAGCATACTCGGTACATGATTCTCAATCGAATTATGTAAAAAAAATAGGTACATACTTAATTTTTGACCAAATTTCCGTATAAATAAATAAAGTGTGTACACGTTCCAAGTGTTCCAAGTGAGGACGCGTGCGGCGGCGTGCTGATACGCCACGCCACCATGCCACGCCGCCGCACGCGCGCGTGAATGTGTGTGTATACCTAATCTGTAGGGTGTTTACACGATGTGTAATTAATTACATAACTTTTGGTTAACTTTACTTAGAAGTTTATTAATATTTATGTTATATTAGTTTTTATTTTGTCATATATGATCGTCAAATATCACGTCCTCAAATATCGATAGTAATTCACCAGTCACCCTGTATAGATGACACGACAAACTGCATTTTTTTAAATATTTATTACGGAAAGCATGTGAAATATGATGTTTCGTAAAACCGGTGCTACTGTAACCAGATTTTTTGTTAGTTGAATTTTTCGTATGTTATCATAATCTTTATTATATTTAACCTCTGATCTATTATAATGAGTCGTCCGCGGACCGTTATTGGTAATGACAATATTAGCTAATGAAGTTCGGTCAATGAACTTGTTAAATATTAGCTTTGACCGCGACCTGGTCTCCGTGAAATTAATGCATTTTTAGTATTTATATGAACAAAAATTTTAGTAGAAGTCTCTCTTTCTTAAATCAGCCATTAATGGTTTAAATTTGTCCATTCCTTCTTGAAATTAGCCTGAATAAAAGGATAGAGGGACACAAAAATTTTATGAAATGTGTATTATAGTAAATGTTTCGAGTACTCGTCCATATGAATTTGCTAAAAGTACTTATTTTATGTCAAACAGTCATTAAAAAATTTTTTCTTCGTCTACTTCGACAAGTTTGTCATGTATTTTTTTTTTTTTTATGGGAAAAGGGGGCAAGTGTGCCGACGGCCTACTTGATGGTAGGTAGTTACCGTCGCCCATGGACATCCGCAACGTAGATTTGCGGATGTGTTGCCGCCTTTGATTGGGGGAAAGGAGGAGGAAAAGGTGGGAAAGGGAGGGAAAGGAAAGGTTGGGAAAAGGGAAAGGGCAACCGGCTCTCTCACTCACCGGACGAAACGCAGCCTTTAAAGACTACTTTACGCCGATTTTCTGTGAGAGGGTGGTACTTCCCCGGTCGAGCCAGCCCATGTTCGAGCTGTAGTAAATTGACTACAGCTAGGCTCTACCACCTCAAAAATATGTCATGTATGATATATATTAGTATATATAATTTGTGTTCGTGTGTTTGTTCACGAAGCAGGTTTAATTACGTGACTGTGGACATCGAAACTTGACACATGATGAGACTAATTAGTAATTAGTATTAATATTAGTGATCGTACGGCGAGCCACGCAACAAACACGGCCGAAGAAACGCTACCAAAAACAATTACAAATACATTGATTTAGAATAAACTAACTAGACTTATATACAATTGAATATTTATAAACTATAAATAATTCATAACACAAAAGAAACGAATGCTCACTTAATGTATTATTATCGAAACGGATTCGTTTTTTTATAAATGAAATGTTTTCTGAACTAACAGGAACCATCGCGAGCGATTAATTGGTTTTTTTTTCGTTCCCAGCGACCGCTCGCCCCGCTCTATACAACACACATAATAGATAAATGGTCGCTTCAAGTAAAGACGATCGTTTTCATTTCCAATGTAAGTTTAATAGCCTTTTAAGGGCATGTTAAGTTACAGTTTATTACAGTCCACTACAGTTAGTTAGTTATATACCTAGTTTTAGTCACGTTTTATAGTCTACACCTTTCCTATTTGATATTTTAAGTCAGTCATTATATAGCCTGCTTTAAAAATAAATTGATCCTTTTATGTTTTCTCGAAAAAAAACAATATGATTTGTATACTAGCAGTACAAAAGGTGAAATGCAGAAGGTGCGGGGCGAAGTAAAATCAGTATAAACCGGTTCAAACCTAGAGAAGAATGCAACACGCACAAATTTGAAATCACACCTACACTATCCGGGTGCACTCACACAAATGCAAAGCTCAGCTTATACTTCGCTCACTATACCAACACATATACATATATTATGGTTTTATGTATAATTGTTCTCTAATTAATTTATTGTGTATAATATTTTTAAGTATTCGCCTAGAAAAGAGAGGGAAAAGGGGTCCGGATCTAAAGAAAATGTAGTTCTTTATGACTCTTATAGAAGTGTACCGTGTTGTTGGTGTATTTACGATACGCATGATGGACGTATGGTATCAACTACTATTATTATATAGAGTAAGTTAAAGGTAGCCGCGGCGTTACTGAGACTGACAGAGATTGATGGAATACGATCAAAGATACACTTAGAAACTATAAACATGACGTTGAAAACATTCACAAATAAAATACTTTGAGTATAAATCAAGTTCGACAGGGAAAATGTTGAAAAAAGTTCAATTATCTTTGACTAGCTTTTGCCGCGACTCCGTCCGCGTGGAGTAGTGACTTCCGCCAGATTTTTGGTTCTTCCCACATATTTCCCGTTCTTGCGAGGTTTTCGGAATAGTCGCGTTCCCGTAGAATTTTCAGGATAAAACCTATGTTTTTTTTTTATTCACAATGAAGTACTCTTAACCAACAACATATTTATTTGTTTATTTGAATAAAGATTTATATCATTATGTTGATACAACTTAAACAAATTATTTCGACCAAATTAGGTACCATAAAAACGGTTTTTGTGAGTTAATCTTAAAAGATAGACATATACTGTCGCGGACTGTTTTTTAGATCATTAAAAGAGCTATTATTCTTTAATACATATTTTTTGTGTATCTTGAACCGTTTTCACGGTGCACGCAACGGAAGGCTTCAAAGATGAAATAATTTCTCCCGTTTTTTACACATTTACCACTATATCTTTGGTTCTATTGGTCGTAGCGTGATGTTATATAGCCCACAGCCTTTCTCGATAACTGGACTATCCAACACAAAAAGAATTATTCAATTCGAACCCGTAGTTTCGGAGATTAGCGCTTTCAAACAAACAAACAAACAAACAAACTCTTCAGCTTTATAATATTAGTATAGATTGTTTATCTTATAGTCGTGGTTTTTCAAAGACATTATTTACTGTAAACGATATTAAGAACTTGAAAGGGATTTTTCAAATAACTCCTGATGACGAAATGATGACTTTTTCATCAGAAGAAACGTAGATTTGGTCAAAATTTATTAGGCCTACCTAATGTGAAATGAAATCACACTATTGTACTCGTAAGAGGCTCGAGTGGAGGTAATTAGCTTAAACAATTATTGTTTCTTTTCTCCGCCGTGACTCTAACTCACTTCTAACGCACTTTATCGAAAAATCTGAACACAAATATGAGAAAAATTCACACTAATTGTTCACAGCGGTTTTGATTCTGTAAATAATTACTGCTAATTATATCTTAATATGCCCTATTACTATAAAGTTATAATATCATTGTATCTATATTATTTAACCCGCAGAAAACAACACAATGAAGATGTAATATAATTATTTTATACAAGCTCATACCGGCGACTTTGCCCGTGTTGTTTTATAACATAGTTTTCGTATTTGCAAGAAAATAAATAACTGAATAATATGTAGTACTTATAAAAATATTTGTTAAACCTCAAAGTTTTTGTTTAGATGAAGGATAAGTCTGATCAAAATATAGTGTATATACATATATGTATATTAGTTTGTCCATGATACGAACAGACCTCCACAAATTTTATATAGATATGTATATGTATATCGCCACGACTGCGTCTACCGTTTGCTTTGTTTTGTTTTATAATTAAGATAAAACTTGATCTTCATAATTATAATAATTAAATCTACACGAGATTAACAGAAAATATTTTTTCTGTATATTCTATTGTTACAAAAATAACAGAACTAAATTTAATAAGTACTCTTAGTAGGAACTTGAAATACATTAAAATTCAAGGTAGCCACTGCCTGATACTCGACCCACGTTTCTGTAAGTACTAAGATACTTTCGTGAGATTAGTATAAGTTCGCATCCTCACACTACGTACGACGCGTTAATAGTTTTACATTCATAAATCTTTGCACATTATAGTGCGTACTAACGTAGGTGTATAAATGGTAAACTAGAAACTGTCCGTATTTATTATGAGGCTGCCAACTCGTCCTAAGGTTATAATTTACAAAATTATGCCAGTATCATGTCAGTATATGCTCCCGCCTGTAACGTGATGGGTTGACGGTTCACAATACTTGTCAACAAACCCATTGTTGTTTAGAACGAGCCCTGACTGGGAGTTATGATCATTGTTTTGACGCTAATTATTACTTACATTAAAACAACTCATGATTAAAGTTCACTGAGAACTTTATTTTATAATAGATATTTACGAAACACATATTTGAGTTGAACCTTTAAATTCCCGAATGACGTTTGGTTTGTTCAATTTTACGCGGGAAAGTATTTGGTCGATTCGATTTGTGTTTTTGTAAATTGAATTAAACTTATTTAAGGTGTTTTGATTTAAGAAAATAATTAGTTTGGTCTAGTTTCATATGTTATTTAAAAGTACTGCCTTTATAAGAACGCTATTTTTTTTAATGATTTTGTATGAATCCTAAATATATAATATTTTTTAAGTTCGATGTTGTTTCAAGTCATTGATAATTCGTTATTGATTCCTGTTCCTTCACCTGAGTCATGGATGTGTACCTTACAAGCGAGAAATTACAATTTCCACGCCTCCTACAATAATGCGTATAATATATTTCAACTTGATACTAAGTACATTTTTTATCTTGTTTTCGTCGTGATATAAGAAAATATGTTTCTGTTATACTTTAATGTTAAAAATCATAAACCGATTTTAATGAAATCCAGTGTGAACGTGGATATTAGCTAAAAGAAAGGTCTTGTCTGAGGTAATGACTCAAATCTAAGTGGATAAAGCCGTGATATGTTATTCTCTTATAAATACAGATTTGACATAAGTAATCACTGCTTGATTTTGTCATATATATGATGTTCAAATAACCATCCAGTATCCACTTATATAAAACGTGTAATTAATGCTAGTACTCACGAGTGAGGCGGAGCGCTGCTTGTTGAGGTCATGCTGGCTCCGGGTCCTGTCCTCGCCCGCGTCAGAGAACTGGCCAGACTTTCTTGAACTAACACAGACAGACATGGTGTAAATAAATTATTATTCATAATGAACATAATGGCGAAGTATTGATAAGTGTATTTACTTGGTGAGCTTACGATGGGCCCTCCTGCCGCCACTGATCATGGACAGGGTGCTCATCACAGCAGACATGATGCACGGCGGGGGCGAGCATCAGATACCTGACACAAGCATAAACAATAAACATGTACCGAAATCAACACTTAAAAGATAATGTATAAAGTACTAGCTTTCCGTCCGCAGCTTCGCCCGCGTAGAGTTCGGTTATATCGCGTTTCCAAGAGAACCTTTCAAAAGTCTGGGATAAAAACTATCCTATGTTCTTTTTCAAGGTCAACTCTATCTCTGTACCAAATTTCATAAAAATCAGTTCAGTGGTTTAGTCGTGAAAGCGTAACAGACAGACAGACAGAATTACTTTTGCATTTATAATGTTAGAAGGGATAGTACACACCGTTAACATCAATGTTAATGAAGTCTATCAGAAATAAGGAGATAATGTAAATTCGTTGTTTTATAAATAAAATGAATTTCGCAAAAAATCGTAACCGTTTCCAAGATGTGTTTCAAAATTCTCCGTCATTCAACACCGTCCGATGTCGACGGGTGTCGGGTGTTGCTAAATATTTTGGGAAACGAAAACTCTGATAACGTAAACTAAAAAAATTCTATACTTTTATTAGTGTTTTAAATTAATTTATACTTTAATATCGAAAAGAAACAGAATACGATCAAAGACAATGTAACTTCTGATGCAATTATAACGCCGCAATCGTCCACGATAACATCGGGCATTTATCTTTTAATTATGAAAAGTACAGTCGCTAGCACAAGTTATAAGAAAATTATACAATTTTTTAATAAATGAGCGAACCTGTACCCACGGAACTACTGTTTTGGTGCGATGAAGTCATGAATTTGAAGTACACGATAAACTTATCATAAACGGCAGAGCGAGCAGGGACCCGTTTGTGTTTCATATAATATTAACTCGTACAAATAACGTGCACCAATCTAATAAACTCAAACAAGTTCTGCACGCTTAAGCCGAGTTCGCTTCGTCACACTGTAAACGAGGCGTTTATAGTTTCTCATTCATAAATCTGCATAAACGTATGAATGAGAAACGAGGAACTAATCGTTTCTGACGATACAAACTTGTCCTAAGAATACTATTGATTGTAAAAACTAAAACTTATATTGCGATATACGATGGAGTAGACTCCTAGTGGTGGAGGTGTTTTATATTCATAGATTTAAACGACGCAAATTACTAAACATAGACAACCGATTATTTTTTAATTTTCATTATAATTGTCTCGATCATGTTAACGATTACATCAACTTGATATTAAAACAGCATCCATTTCGTATGATCAGTATATACTACAAAAGTTGTGGGCACAGTTTAAGCACCTACAAATATTACAAATATACATTTGATAAGATTTTTATATCTTACGTATTAAAAATGTATTAAAATTACAATTTTCTAACATTTTTATTCCATTCAAACAAAAAGACCATATTAGATAAATATAAAAAAAAACTTGTAAGAAAAGAAATACTTTCAACAAATAATTGTTATTTTGGATAAAAAGTGTATATGGAGAAACGAGACAGTGAGAGAGATTGAGATTTGAAACTGTCATATTATAGCAGTCATGGCTTATTCTTGATGTATTCTTGTTTATTAAGGTCTTTAAAATACCCAGAAACCTTCAAAGAGCGTCTTCAAGTATCTTCCGCTACAAATAATCCTCCTGGGAACAGGCACAGTGTAACCACAACGATCGGCCACACTCACAATTTGTAATGACTGACAATCATGAAATACCATCATTAATAACTCTTCGCCATCGACTGTGTTTAAGACTTAATACGCTTGTTTGTTATAATAATGATAGTCATCGGTGATTGTGGTACAGATAAATGAACGTCCAGAGACAGCTCGAGCCTCGGCCAGAGCTCGTGTCAGCTGTAAACATGTCCGCGGCTCACGTGACACATGCATTATTAATGTTCAACTTATTTATGATCTGTACACAGTCGGGACACTCCTCTAGGACAAGAGGGATTTTATACTTACATAAACTTGTAATAAAAACAACAAAAAATATATTCAAAATGATTTCTATTAGTATCTAACGCAATAGCTTCTATTAAAAGTATAGTTACAAGCTATGTATATTGTGTGTTCGTGTATTGTTAAGGTATTCTCGTGATCTCGAACATCAACTTAAAAGAGTAATTTCGCCGGAGTCTCGAAATGATAGCCAGCTGGAACCGGTCCCGGAGCGGAGCCCGGAGCCTTTTTTGTATTTTGTATAAAATAATCACGGATCGTATGGAGGAGGTCGGGAAGACTCCGATATTTAACTTATACTTAGACGCATTCTCCGAACACACATTCCATTGATTTAGAACTTTTAAACGTACCGCATTTCGTACTAAATAGAGAAATATTTAATATAAAATCTGTTAGAGCAATATTTAAGTGTAAATCCTTAGGAATACCTAAAGCTTCAATCAGATATACACCTTCATAGAAAATCAATAGATCGTACCTCATAATGCAGCCCACCTACACCTCTTTAATTTGGACTGTTGCTTAATATTTGTAATTACGTACAAAACAAACAACTAAGCAGAACGTAGACGAGTTACTCACGATTAGAATGTGTAATAATATCTGACATCGTAAAAAAGTTAGTCTAAAATAGAAAATTTTTATTCATAACTCACAAGCTGACGATGCGTGAACATTGCGAACAACTGTCATGATTTCCTCAAACGAAATAATGGATGTCGCCACTATAATTGCTGGAATCGATTTCTCTCGATAATCGATAATTTCCTTAACAACGTTCCTGTGAAGTTATTCTAACGATTACATTGAATCGATGTGATTAAAGACGCCTCGGGAGTCGGGCGACTTCTTCAAACGGGGAAGGTTTCTTCCAGTTTAGTTCGAGCTGGTTTTTTATGGAGAACGTCGAACACTTTGTGTATTACTTATAAGAATACTGGAGGCGGGCCGATGAAGACTTTAACAGATGACTTATATGCAAATCTTTGAAACCTAGTTAATGTCTAACAGACGCTGTTAACTTGATGGACAGCTCCATCCAGCTTGATATGATTTATAACTGATCATTACAAGCTGCTCTCGTGTTACGTACAGCTTGTCAATCAACGTTAGATTTACATGGGAATTACTGAATATATTATAAAATAACAATATCAGGTATTTGATTTGAATGTACATTTATTTAGTTCTACATGTTTCTAGGTCATTCTTAATTTAATAACGTGATGTTCATTAATTCTTGCAAAAAAACACTCTAATTTATTTATAAACAACAATTTATTCAAATTAAAAATGTAGTACATTTTTAAAATATTTCTATATTAAGTGATAGTAACCGGGACAAGTTAGAGTGCGAATGGCGGGAGGTGTTTAAAATTCCTCAAGTTATCGTCTGATGAGCAGCGCAGGTGCGGGAGGGCAAGGGCCGGCTCCGCGGACCGTGAAACTACGTATTGTTAGCGTCTCCCACGGCCACCACCTCTACATGGTACCACAGGGCATAGGGTGCATAATTTGAATATCACCAAACACATTTCATACAACACCCAATTATTGATACAACTCATATAATATTAATACATTTAAATCAATACTGATATTTAATTAAACGTTTAGGTTTGTACAAGGTGTGGCTGAGTGAGCTAAGCCATTTATTACCGAGTCTAAACAAGGCGTCGGTTTAGCTGTCAAATGATAGACCGCCATTAGTTGACAGCCCACAGACAAGCCTCGGCCCGCGACTATCGACAGGTGATTTGTCCGGTGTCGGATTTAACAACTATGGAGTAGTATGAAGTAATTACAACACAGAAGCCTACACCTGATTACATGTTTACATTTATAGTTTGTGGACGTCTACCAACAAACACAATAATTAATTTTTGCAATATATGACCGACTGTTAAGTAAAAATACATTAACGAATTTTACTACTCAAAGTAAACGCGAGTCACTTTTATACTAAACAGAAAGACAATGTACAATAAACAGATTTATGTGACGCAATTCTGACTAAAATTAACAATTCAATATTTCGCATATAAAGTGAGCCTGTAGTGACAGTTCGTCATTAAATAAATTATTAATAAATTTTACGGTTAAGAAACAAGTCGTTTATTCGTAAAATATATCTACTATTTTAATGTTATAAGGTAAAATAAAAAGAGTACGTCACAAAGATTGTATTAAGCTGAGTAATTTTATACAACCGCTAGTGAAATGACACATGACTGTCAAATGTCAGTTAGAAATGACACCGTTTTATACCAGAAGGAAATCATCTGTGGCTTTAGTTTACTGATCCTTTTAATTGACAAAAATAATATGATTAAACTAGGTATGTCATTTTTAACACTACCCTGTCATAAATAAATAACTAATGAGAAACATTCATTAATATTTTTTAACACAAATTCGTCGTGATCTCAATATAAATATTATAAAGGTATTCTCTGGTTGCACTAAACGTGTTTAATCCATGCAAACTCCTCGTTATGACCAAATTTGACTAACATTAATAAAATGCTGTATTTTTTGCATAAACCATAAGAAAATATAATTAAACTCGCAACATTACCTACATAGAGTATGTGGCGAGGTTTTTAGATGCCTTACTCAGACCGCTTCCGTCGCTAAGGCTCATTAGTACCGAGGAGAAACAATTTTATATACAGGATATACGAGAGAAGTCGGCGTATCTGATACAGTCTAAAACATTTAAAACGTCACAAAACGTGGGGGGTTGATGAAAAAAATACAAATAACTCAGATTTAAAAACTAACAATAACTTAATATAATTAATATTCGTTAAAATTCGATTGTTAATATTAAGTGGACTAAAATATCTTTTGTGTGATTATTCGCGGAGGGGTCGTTTGAAACTCGTTTGAATATCACAACATCACCCCTCATAATACTCGTAACACGCATTAAAACAGCAAACATCGACAGGAGCCGGACACGGACTGTTGTTTAACGACTGTATTGTACTTGAAAAGATTTGTTGAGAAATAATAGTCAACAGAGGAGAGTCGGGTTACA